GCCATCCCCGCAGCGCCGCGACCGAGCGAGGCCGTTCCGAGCCACAGCCGGCCGGGCAGGGCGGGAGCTCAGAGAGACACCAGCACACCACTGCCCTGGGCAGGGACGGCGCCCGCCACGGCTGCTCGAGGAGTTCTTCAGCTGGAGCGAACAGTGCCAGGCCTGGGGCATCCACAGCCTCTTTGAGGCATCCACACAGCCTCTTTGGGGCATCCACAGCCTCCCTGGAGCAACCACAACCTCTTTGGGGCATCTACAGCCTCTTTGGGGTATCGACAACATTTCTGGCGCATCCACAGCCTCTTTGGGGTATCCACAACATCTCTGGGGCATCCACAACCTCCCTGCTATCCCCTGGGCCATACTCCCACCCTGAGCAGCATAGTATGCTAAGGGTTTGGGATGAAGCTTAGAGATCACCCAGTGCCAACCCCCTGCCCTGGGCAGGGACACCTCCCACCAGAGCAGGTTGCTCAAGGATTTATCTGACCTGGAATGAAACACTGCCAGGGTTGAGACATCCACAGCCTCCCTGGGCAACCTGAGCCAGTGTCTCAAGTGTCTCACCACCCTCAGAGGGAAAAATTCCTTCCCAATATTCTATCTGTCCCAGCCCTCTGGCAGGGGGAAGCCCTTCTCTGCATCCTGTCACTCCAGGCCCTTGTAAATAGTCTCTCTTCATCGTTCCTGTAACTCCTTCAGGTGCTTAAAGGCCATAATTAGGTCACCCCAAAGCTTCTCTTTCCCAGGCTGAACAACCACAATTCTCTCAGCCTTTCCTCACAACAGAGCTGCTCCATCCCTCTAGTCATCACAGTGTCTCCTCTGGACTCACTCCAACAGCTCCATGTCCTCCCTGTGCTGCAGATCTCAGAGTTGGAAGCAGCACTGCAGGTGAGGACTCACCTGAGTGAGCAGAGGGGCAGAATCCCCTCACTGCTGTGGACACTGTGGGATCAGCCCAGGATGATTTGATGGTGCTTTTGTGGAGACTTTCCATCTCTCCTGAACTCAGGGCCAATCCATGGGGATGAAGGAGCCATGAGGAGCTGTGGGAGCAGAATGAACTTTATTTGCAATAGGAGGGAGTGGGGCCCTGCCCCGGGACATGGCAGCAGGCAGAGGCCACCAGAGTTAAGGCAGTGAAGGACCTGCTTCCTTCATGGTTCTGTTTGTCCTTCATGGTCCCACCCTGAGAACAGGTGCAGGGAGAGGTACCAGGGTGAGGAAGGAGTGAGCTCGGACAAGGAGACAATTCTGCATCCTGCTCACAACCTGCTGTCAGAAGAAATGCAGACTGAAGCAATAAACGCCTTCCCCAGCATGAGGGCACAGTGGTTTGTAAAAACATCCTTCATCTTCCTCAGGTGGCTCTGGGGTTTGGTTATCCACACACACACACAGCTGCTGGTCTGCTTCATCCTCCTGCTGCAGGGAGGCATCTCTTCACACCACACCTTTGGTACTGAAGTTAGTAAAAAAGCCAACACAACCCCAAACCCATAAAACAATCAACAAACTCAAAACAACCCCCAAAGTTCCAGAATCAGTAGCCCTGAGTGCTGTGGCACTGACAGTCCCTGGCAGTGTCCTGCTCCTAGCTGTCCCTGCGCTCTCGCTTGAAGAGAGCAGCTGCTTTCCAGGTAGCAGTTGCATGAGAGAGAAGAATCTCATCAGGGAATGTCTCCTGCAGCTCTGTAGCTAACTCAGAGTCTTTGGCATCGAGGTAAGGCAGGAGTGATTCCTTCAGGCTGGAAAACAGAGCAGAGATAGCATTAATGGCTGGTGTACAGCGAACCACAAGTGCCACATAACATCAGTGCATTGCCACCACCCAAAGTGCTAAATATACACAGTTTGACAGGTGAATTTGTAAGGAGAAGGGTTAAACAGCCAGTCAGAGTTACAGGGAGGCTGCAGAACCCAGCAAGGGGAGGCTGCAGGGCAGGACTGAGCTGCTGGGGCTGAGCTGTGCCTGTGGAGAGCTGAGTGAGCTTATCATTGAAGGTTGGACTTTATCATCTTGGAAGTCTTTTCCAACCTTAACAATTCTATTGAGTGCCTGCAGAAGTGCTTGTTTGTGTTAGTGCTCAGGGACAGCATCTCCTGGTGTATTCCAGCAGTGTTACCAAAACAGCTTGTGGAAGAGGAAGAGTCACACACACCAGAAATGGGCATGGACATTGCTAATGCTGCTGGTTGTGAATTGTCCCCACAGGGTGGGATTTGCTGAGGGAACTGTTCCATCACATGCATTCTCAGAGCCAGAGAAGCTTGAGTTGCTAACAGCTATGGTGGGTTTGGGCTGTGTAACTCCTACCTCCATGAGGGTCTTAATTCATCCACAGCTTGGACACGTCTCAGTTTCAAGATGATCATTTCATGCAGCTCCTGCAGGAAGGTTTCCAGCCTCGAGTGGATGAGGAAGGTGTGGAGGAGTTTGGCAATCTCTGGACTGAGCTCAGCTTTGTACTCTCTAGTGATGTCTGCAAAAGGATCCTGAAAAAGCAGCAGGAGTTATAAACCAACCAGCCATGCACACGTGAGCAGCTTCCTGCAGAGCAGAGCTGGTGAGACACAGGTGCTGGGGGTCCCATACCCTCCTGAGGCGCAGCAGCTGCTCCGATTTGTGGGTACAGAGGAGCTGCCACAGGGCTATGTTGTGTTTGAGGTGGCAACCTCTGAGGGCCTGCAAGGAAAACACAGGGATGGACGTTAGGGATGTATCTGGGAACCTGTCTCCAGCTTGCACTGCCCAGGCAGGTCACAGAGAGCTCAGCAGGGAGTTCATTGAGCACTTTAACATGGGTGGACCCATCTGCAATAGGCCTCTCTTTCCCCTTCCCCATTTTGCCTTCAATCAAATCTAGTGTCAGGAAAGGTAGTGGATAGTGACATCATTAAAGGGCCTCTTCACACATCATTAGGAGACAAAACCTTCCCCATCACCACTTCAAAGACAGGATGGTTCCAACCCTGCTCAGCTCCAGGTTAGTGCCAGGGGAGCTCACTCAGAGCTGAAAGTTCTCCCTTTGCTCAGTTTTGGCATTGCAATAATTCTGATGACACTCCACAGAAGCTGGACAATGTTCTCAGGGACACAGTGGGATTCCTGGGGTGTCCTGTGTGCAGGGCCTGAAGTTGGGCTTGATGATCCTTGTGGGTCCCTTCTAGCTCAGGACATTATGTCATTCTATGAATTGAGCCTTCTCCTTCCCAGTGCTGACAGAGAGCTTGATCTGCAGAGCCTGACCTTCTGCAGCTCTTGCACCTGACCTTTCTGTAGGGCTTGCACAAACCTGCAGAGCATCACAAGCTGTCAGGTGCTCCCACCATGCAAACACTGGTTGCAGAGGCAATGAAAATTGCTTCCCCCTCACTGTTAAATACAGGAAGGGGAGGGAGTCCAATCACCTTTTCAAGATGAACTTTTGCTGGGCTTGAAGGTCACACTGGCTGGATTTAGCACAAACCAGTGCAGATGTTATCCTGCAAGCAGCAGAGCTGTGCCCTTAGGACTCACCTCCAGCACGTGGGGGTTTGTCTGGTCCCCCATCTGCAGAACGTTCACAATGTAGTCAGTCAGCAGCATCTCAGCATTCTCCCCAGCCATGGCCAGGAATCCCAGGGTGATCTCAGTGAGGGACAGAGCATCACAGACATCACTGTAGGACTGTAGCTCCCCACTGATTATGTTCATCACAGAGCTGGGTAGAGCACTCTGAAAGCCATGAAGTCAGAGCTAATGTTAGTTTAGAGCCAATCCTGATTGCTGCTCCAGTTGCTAAAGTCAAGGAAGACAACAGAGCCCCAGATTTAGGACTCCGAAATGCTGAGCTGTCTCCCTTTCCTGTGTAAATCCTGGCTGACAACAGAAGGCCAGACTGGACATATTCAAGGCTTGCCAGATCAGCAGGGAAGCCTTTGGATGGATGACGGAAGGGACAGGGGAAGGACATTTGATAGGAGGACTGGAGCATCTCCCTTATGAGGTTATGAGGACGAGAGAGTTGGGGCTGCTCAGCCTGAAGAAGAGAAGGTTGTGTGGAGACCTCAGAGCACCTTCCAGGATCTGAAGGGGCTGGGCTCGAGCTGGAGAGGAACTTTGTTAGGAACTGCAGTGACAGGACAAGGGGTAATGGATTCAAATTGAAGGAAGGGAAATTTAGGCTAGATATTAGGAAGAAGTTTCCTGTGAGAGCGGTGAGACACTGGCACAGGCTGCCCAGGGAGGCTGTGGCTGCCCCAACTCTGGCAGTGTTCACAGCCAGGTTGGATAAAGCCTTGAGCAACCTGCTGTGGTGGGAGGTGTCCCTGCCCAGGGCAGGGGCTGGGGCTGGGGCTGGATGATCTCTAAGCTCCCCTATGAAACCCAACATTCCTTGGCAAGTCAGGTGTCTTACACTTGCCCTGTTTCCTCCAGTGCAGAAACCCACCTGCTCCACCTTACTCCGGACATCACTGATCAGCTGTTCGTAGTTCCGATCATGTCTGCACACGAAGGTAGGGATTCCCTGCCAGGAGAGAAACCCATGGATGTAAAGCTCTGGAGACAGTGCTCAGCCTGCCCAGTGCAGCCCCCACAGCAGGCACGAGGCACAGCCCCTGCCCTGTCCTACCGTCAGTGTGATGAGTGGTTTCCCCTGTAGGAACTTGCTGATGACTTGCTGCTGGATCCTCTCCAGATCAAAGTCCTGCAGTGTCTCCCCTCCCTTCTCCATGGTGTACTGGCAGTTGGACAGGATCAGAGGAATCAAGTCTCTCTCGAGTTCATAACTGATCAAGTGTAGGTCATCCACTTCCAATGGGCTGATCAGGTACCTGCAGGAGAGCAAACTTCTCCATTTAGGGTGAGAAGTCCTTCTGGAGCAGGGAAAGCTGATTGTGTGCTGGCAGGAAATACAACAGAGCCCAAAAAATGGAATAGCAACACACCTGTCATCTTCCTTGATGTGTTTGTTGACCGAGTGGACGAAGTCATTGTGCAGACTGATGAGGTAGCTGGTCAGGGCTGTGGAGCAGAGGCCCAGCCCCTGTCGCCGTGGCAGGAGCACCTCCAGCTTGGTGTCCAGGGTCAGGTCAGCATCACAGTAGCCTCTAGGGAGCTTAATGTCCCCTGAAATAACAGGCAGAGAAGACTGAGGTGGCTCAGAGCCAGCCCAGGTTGAGTGAGCCTCCCCTTAGCCTCCCCAGGGCAGGAGAGGGAACAGAGCCTGAGAAGAGCTGTGCTCTCTGCATTAGGGATAAGCATGGAAGGGAGCAAGTTCAGGTGGGAATACTACAGGAGGGGAACAAATTCTTCCATTTGTACTTAGATCCCCTTAACATGTAATGGCCAAGGTCAGTTTTGAGGCTCTGTCTCAGCATCGGTGATTGAAGGCACCTGAACTGGGAAAGAGGAGCAGTGCTGGGAAAGGAGAGTGCTCACCACTGGTGTCCAGAGAGCTTCTCAGCTTGTTCCAGACAGACAGAAACACATTCACTCTCCTCTGCAGCTGGTTCCTCATCACATCTGAGGAACAACAGAAAGAAAAACCCATGAAACACCTTTTCCTGGCAACACCTGGAAACTCCATAATACAGGAATCTTCACAGCACACCACTGAACCCTGGGCAACAGCCCAAACTGCTCAAGAGAGACTGAACAGACACTAAACACTTTTCCAATGGTACTGAATGGAGTCATTTGCTCAGTTGGTTTATATTTTCCCATCACTGCCTACTCCTGGCCCAGGTCACAAGGATGGATTGAGCCTTAGTCTGATTCTGCATGAGTTCTAACTGCTTTTGCAGAAGTACTTAAAAACATCAGTAATTGCACTTAAATACAATTGAAGCAGCTACCACAAAATGTCTGTTCATGAAAGGAAGGGAAGGACATCAACTCCACCCTCTGAGGCAGGCCCTGTCAACATGCCACTGCTGCATTAGGGATTCCTCTTGCCTGTCTGTGCAGAGCTCCCACCCCTTGTCAAAATCCTCCTGTGCTGAACTCCCTTTAAAGTCACCTGTGACTTTTCCAACCATAACTCCAGGGCTAAGGTCTCCAGTTCGTCTGGATGGGAGTTAAAAGGAAAATAAGCCCTAATAAGGGCTCAAGATTGCAAACTCAAGAAAAGTTTTCACCTTCTCTTTCCACTGGACAATCCAGTGCTTCCTGTTTCACTACTGACAGTTTGGGCAGAGTCTTCTCACCTGAGAAGGGTTCCCTGAGGAATTCCCTGATGGAGCAGCGTTTGACCTCGGCAGTGTTCTGGAATTGCCTCACCAAGTCTCTCTGCAGAGCCAGAATGTCTGGTAGGAATTTCACCAGCCTCAGTTCCGTTTCCTGGGAGAGCAGAAGGAGCCTGTGGGTGAGGCTGTGCTTGGACAAACCAGTTTGGAATACTTCTGTGGAATTACTTGGTAAATGTTCGAAGGACAACAATAGTTTCCATGTGCATTCTCAAGATTATAGCAAGTGGTGAGAATAAAGCCCCTGCATAACCCAACCGTGGTTTAGCCCTGGGCAGGAGCTCCAGGGCCCTTCCCACCCCTGGCTCTGTGCTCTGATCTCTGACCATCCCTGTGTCACCCCCACCTTCTGCAGGAACTTCCATAGGAGAGGGACAGTGTCCTTGGCATTCTTCTGCTGGACAACATGGCCCAGGTTCTCCACAGAAATCCTCTTCCTGCAGCTCCACATCTTGGAGTGGTGGATGTGACTGTCCTTTGGCAGCTGGGACAGGAATGCAGCTGGGTCACCATACACTATTTTCACGATAGGGTTGGAGGAAATTCTCTCATCCTCTTGTATCTGTCGATTTAACCTCAGGAGTTTTTTATCCAAATCCTGCGGTAAAACAGAATAAAATTATTGGAGAAATACTTCTGACTGAGCTGAACCATTTCTGCTTTTACAGCTGCACAAAATCATCCCAGCACAGTCTCAGACTCTCGTTTCCAGAGGTAGAATCAGGCTGACTGACCCTGGACCTGCAGCTCTTGGCTTTAGGCATAGCTGGGTGAAAGGTGTAGCACAGATATCACAGCACATCAGATTTCCAAACCAATGGATTAACTGCTCAGCTACTAACACTTTGTATAGCAAATATCTCACCTTCAATTCAGGAACAATAATTGTCTGTGCAACAATTTCTTCCCATTTGTTTCTGTTATCCTTGGTAGAGAGAACATCATCATTGAACTGCACTGGCCCTGCAACAGGAATATATTGTCTCTTACACCTGCAATATTTCATGAAAAGAAAGTACAGATTCTCTAAGCTTCCCAATGGCATGTCCTTGCAGGTCAGCATGAGGAGCCAAGAGCAGTTGCAGAGGTCCTAGAAGCTGAATGAGTATCTTGGTCCAGCTGAAGACACTCAAACCAGCACACAGTGACCCAGAAGCTTCAGGCCAGTCATTCATGGAAATGGTGGGCACATTTATACACGTCATTCAGAACCACAGAAAAGTTAAACAGGTTGTCCAAGGTCAGAGCATGATCAATGACAGACTGAAGCCTGGAATTGGTGCTGTCACACACTCAAAATGCAGCTGTGATGTATAAATCCCTCCGTGACACAGTGACTCAGGTCAACCTGCACTCCAGGTTCTACCACGAACCACACACTGCCATCCCTCTTCTGCCAAAGAAGAGTCATTTAGAGGACAGCACAGAATATAGCTTGCCCAGAGCATGAGCTGCTGTGCTGCTTGTGAGCTGAAAGCTCTGCCCATCTGTCATGATGGTTTTCAGTCAATAACTCATTTTCAGAACTATTGACTGCCCCAAGCCTTGCAAACCTCACACTCGACTGAAGAAAGCAAACAGCAAGAATGCTTAACTCCCTGCAGTAAGAAACAAGCTCCAAATTCTGCATCTTCCTCATCAGCTCAGCTACTGCTGTGGGAAGTGGTTTATCAGCACAGCAGCTATGTGAGTGGAGCGTCAGGTGTGGTATGGCAGGTGGATTCTCTTACATTGGTCTAGGTGCTGCTGGGGGTCCTGGAGGAGCCTGCTGAGCACGAGGTGAAGGATGTTGATAGTCTCATCCAGACTCTTCCCCAGAATTCTCGTCAGCTGTGCCAAGTCTTCCTGAACATGCTCCTGCAGGAAACTCACTGCGTCACGCACCGGTGGCTTGATCATCCTTCTCAGTGACTAAAGACCAACAAAAGGCAAGAATTGAGCGCAGCCAGTAATGTCCAGGGAAGCAGAAGTTCTGTCAGACATCTCCACCCTGTGGGATTCCTGCCCTTGGAGCCAAGAAAGCAGGTATGGGTGTATATGGCTGCATGCAAGTGCAGGAAGGAACCAAAATAACTCCTGGGCAAGGAGGGAAGGGAATTTGGGTCCTGCATCTTGACAGACCTCCCTGGTTACTTGGCAACATGATGAAAAAGACCATCAACATGGCAAGGTTTCACTACATTTTGTGTGGCCACTTGGAACTATTATTGGAAGATACCTGAGGGTCCTTTGTAGCTCCTAGCAGCATTGACAGATGTGTGAGCAAGCGGAGCAGGATGAAGACAACGGGTGACATGGCCCTGTCAGACACTCCCAGTGTTCTTCTGTGCTGAACATCTCCAAGAATGTGGCCAGTTTGAGTTCTGTCTTCAACACTCCTGTAGGAAAGTGTATATATAGTATCTTTTTGCCTTGAGAAAAAACACACAAGGGATCTCTGATAATCAATAATGTCTTTTTGGCCCATAAGGTCTTTGAATGCCATAAAAGGACTAGAGGGAATGTTCATAAGCTGAGACAGGGGCGATTCAGATTAGATGTTAGGAAAAATGGTTTCTCTGTTAGGGTGCTCAGGCACTGGAATATTGCCCAGGGAGGTGGTGGAGTCACCATCCCTGGAGGTGTTTAAGAGGAATCTGGATCTGGCACTGGAGGATATGGTTTAGGGGTTACAGCAGTGACAGGTTAATGTTTGGACTCAAAGATCTTAGAGGTCTCCTCCAACCTTGATGATTCTATGAAAAAATGCCAATGAAGTGCTGCAAGGGAGTGAAGACTTATAGTAAGTTGTACCCAAGTCAGCCATTTTATTTGGCTTTGCTGGCTGATTGCTCTCACTTGGACATCCCTTCCTAACACCTTCCTGAGAGCAGCACGAGGGGGTCAGTGCCTTTGCCCTCAAAGGCATGTGACAGGCAAGTCCTGCAGCACTGAGTGCTGAGAAGGGGATGAAGCAAAACTCACTGAACTTCCTGGAAGCCTTGCACTGGTCTGTGCCTGCGCCCTCCGATGTGGGCGTTGCAGTCGGGGCAGCGGCTGATTTCCATGGGGAGCCCACACTGCCAAGAGGCAAAGGAGAACCCTGAGTTCCAGAGCAACAGCTTCTTCAGCAGAAAAAGGCAATCAAGCAAAAATTCAAGTACGAACTGGTTAACTCAAACCCTGCTACATCCTGGGCACAGCACCTTGGCATCACCTCTCCTACATTTATGGTCTAAGACTTAGAGCTAAGTTTGACATCACAGTGGCAAAATGACTATTGAAGAGGGTTTAGAAATGAACCACCGTGCAACAGAGCATTAAAACCAGTAAACAAAATGAAAACTATCTGCTTCAAAACCCACCAGTCCCCAGCTCTTACCTCTCCCACAGTGCAGGGGTGGCCGTTGGGACATGCTGGCAAGAGAGACAGACAGGACAGCATTAAAGACAGAGTTATAAAGCCACTGTTAATCCCTTTCGTAAGGAAAACCAATCAACCTGAAGCAAGAAATATGCTTCAAGAGCTAATCAAAAGCCCTGACTGTCCCAAAGCTCAAAGGAGTGACAGGTCCACACAGGAACTCAAGGAATTTTTCAGTGCTGCTTCTCCAGAAGAAACAAGGAATGGAAGTCTGAAGATTCTGCTGCTGAGCACCAAAGGGGCTGGTGGGCAGGAATGAAAAAAAAGCAGGAAGCAGGGACTGAAGCTGGCCAGGAAAGTGGAATACTGCTCCTCTTCTCTCCCTCCACGTTAGTGCTGCCAGAAGTGACAGGACAGGTCCTGTGCCCTGTTGAACTCTGCAAACAGCTGCAGCCTCGAGACTGAACACAGGTTGGATGCACTTTGATGTGTTACCCACACAAACCATGGCTACAAATCTTGATTTGCTAAGGGTAGCTCATGCTGAGGAGAGTGTCTGTGCTCACCTTCGGAACAGTTTCATTTTCAACACCCAAGGATTCCATTCAATCCCTCCCACAGGCAGCCACAGGAGCACTTACCGTACCAGCGCAGAGCAGCCAGTCCCTCCCAGGCCCTGGCCTGAGCCATGATGTCCTCTGGCATCGTTGGCAGAAATGAGAGCTGAGGAGAAAAAGGTGACAAATGGAGCTGCAAACCAGTTCTCTCCTGCAGCAGTCACTCACCGGTTCTTTGCTCATGATGGGGAACACAAGACAGCTGAAAGCAGAGCTCAGGCAGGTGATGTGGGCACAGATTTTCAACCTCTACCTTTGAAAATCCACTCTTAGAACTGTCAGGATTGTTAAGAATTGCATGTGCACTCTCCAGACATCCTGAACTGGGTTTTCTTGATCCTCCTTGGTGTCCCCCAGCTGTTTCCTTACACCTTGGACAGCCAGAAACAGCAGAGCAGCAGGTCCCTCCACCCAATTCAGCCTTGTGCTCCCTGAGCCAGTGTTCTGCACACTGTGACCTGCCAGCTGCTTTCAGCCTTGCTCACTCAAATGCCAGCAAAAGTACTAGTTTGATACTGCTCAGGATGGTTTGAAACAGTACTGGTCCAGAGCTTGTTCTGCTAATTAACCCCAACAACACTGAAATGACCACAGTCGCTCAGGGCTAAAACAATGAGTTTGATGCTGAGAAAGGTCAGGTTACAGAGGATCTGGGAGACACAGGAAAGAACTAGCAACATGCTGAATTGCACCCGAGTTCCAGCTCTTTACCTGCATGGTGTCTGGCTGGAAGGCTAAGCTCCTGAGGGGCTGCAGCAGGGGGCTGTGCCCACACAGCAGCACAGCAGCGACGTGGACAACCATCTCAACCAGGGCCCCGTGCTGGCTGAAGCTCTGTGGCTCCACTGGCAAGGCTGGCAGGGTATTCCTCACCAGGGCAGATGCAAAGTGCCGCAGCTCGTCAGAATTCAGGAGCTGGGAGTTCTGGATGAACTGAGTCATGGTGTCTGTTTGCTGCAAGCACAGATTTGAAAGGATAAAAGCAGCATGATGCTGCCCAGCAAAGGGAGGAGGACTGTCAGCTGCCTCCCATGCTGGAGTGCTCTGCTTTGAAATCAGTCCCAGGTTGCTCAGCTCGGGATGTCACTGTATCTGGGGCAGAGGAACAAAAAGCTCCTCTATCACTGATTCAGATCTCACTCATCCTTACCCACAAAGCAGGTTTGTCACAAGCTTTCAGAGGGGAGTGCCTTACCTGCTGCTTGGGATGGAGACTTGGGTCAGTGAAGCCATAAAGGGCAGTGACCTCTCGGAAAATGGCCAGGAGCAGATGGACAGATCCCATGGCCACGGAGCCGCTGAAGGCCTAGAGAAGAACCAGTGATGTGTCAGGGAACAGGCTGGAGCTGTCCCTGCTGAAGTCACTGGATATGCAGGTGAGAAAGTAAAGTGAACAAGGAGTAATGGCCATAAACTAAACCACAACAAGTTCTACCTCAACACAAAGAAGAACTTCTTTCCATGGAGGTGGCAGAGCCCTGCACCAGGTGCCCAGAGAAGACCTGGAGTCTCCCTCTCTGCAGACATTCCAAACCCACCTGGACACATCCCTGTTTCACCTGCCCTAGGTGACCCTGCCTGAGCAGGGGGTTGGACTGGATGATCTCCAGAGGTCCCTTCCAACCCTAATTACCCTGTGATTCTGTGTGTGTCTGCAGCATAGGCCACAGAAACCTTCAAGCAAAGGCCCCTAGGCACCTCCACAGGAACAGACACTGCCTGCAGAACACAGAGCTGGAACCCTGGCCCAGCAGACCCTCCAGCTGGGTCCTGGTGAGGAGTGTTCCCTACCTTCTCAGCCTCCAGGAGCCCCTCAGCCTTGCCCTCCATCATGGCCAGTCCCACAGCATTACGCAGGGCTCGGTAGCTCTCCCCACACACCAGGAACCGGTCGATGTGGTGGGACTGGCTGCTCTGCACCTGCAAAGGGAACAGTCCATGCAGAGCACTGTGGACATTAACCACCTGTTGGAGAAGGCAGAACCTGCTCTTCCACCCTAGCACTGGGGCACTGCAGCCTTCCCAGAGAGCAGCAGTAGGCACGGCCACCCAAACAGCTCCACACTGCCAGGAGAGACTCTATTCATCAGAGAGCAAAGACAAATCACCTTCACAACCACTCCCACTCCGGCAGGTTCCCAGAGAGCCACACAGGAGTAGAAACACCCCAAAGCAGCACAAAGTGAAGACTAAGAGAAGAGCAGAAGCACTTCCAGGAGACACCTCCTCTTTACCTGCCACAGGATTTCCTCTGGGAACACCCAGCTGAACTGTTCCTCTGTGACAAGCTTCTGAGCAAACTCCATCCCACACTGACTGGTGATTCTCCGGACCAGGTACACGTGGTGCCAGTTGTTCCTGGCCAGGCTGCAGAACCTCCTCACATTCAGCAGGTAACGCTGCTTCTCCTCCATCTGCTCTTGCTCTGGAGGGAAAAAAGAGACCAAAGAAGAGGCAGAAGCACATCCCACCTTGTAAAACATCACTGGCTGCATCAGCTGTAGCACCAAATGCCTTTACTAGCAGTGACAAGTTACACAGGAGAAATTCAGAGCCCTCCCTCCCTCAGCTGTTGATCTGGAGTGTCTCCTCAGCCAGATTTCAGGAAATGATTCATTTCCTTGACAGAGAAGATATGAACTCTTTGATATAAACTCTTAATCCCTTTCAGCTGTGCAGAGCTCTCATTCATACACAACAATAACCCTTACAGCGGTCACGTGTCTGAAACAGCATTTATGCTCTAAAGTTCAATTGAGTTGGCTCTAAATAAACTCATTGTTAGTGTCTAGAGGATAAAATAAAGTCTCCTTCCAAAGGTGTAACTGCCATGTAACTACACCCTTGTGGTCACCAGCACAGGCTTGCTACTGCCAGTTATAGACACATGGTACAGGGGACAAAAACTGACAGGAATGAGGAAAGGGGGAGCTGATGCCCTCGTTTTTGGCCATGCACCAAAACAGGTTGCAGCAGAGCACAGGTGCACTGGCTGTGCCCAGCCCACCTGCCCTGGTGCCTTTGCCCTGTGTACAGCATGGCCATTTGGTGGCAGAGTGACTAGACTTACCTGTGTGCTGCTGCAGGTCGGAGATGAGCTCTGCAGCCTTGCTCAGGTACAGGCGAACCTTGGCCACGGCCTGCAGGTATTCCACGGATGATTCCTGGAGACTCTCCTTACTGCTCTCTGGGAGATAGTTCTCCGGAAAGCCTCTGCCCCCAAACAGACTGTTCATGTGCTCATATCCAAGGCTGTCCTCAGATTTTTCACACATGGAATCCTGAGGAGGGGCAGGAACACTGCATGAGTGGCAGAGTCACTTTGATAGCTGTGCCTATCCCAAATGCATCCAACTGCAACAAGCACATTAAACCCGTGTCTCTCCCTGCACCCTCCACCCCACTGCCATCAGCTTCCCCTGGGACCTCTCCAGTGCTTATCCCAAGCCCTGTCCCACATCCCCTAAGCATGGAGCTGAGCAAGAGCCATGAACAGGCTAACTGGCCACACACATGCTGGAACACACATCCTATGTGCCAAGATGCCAAGCTCTACCTGCCTGTCCCTGGGCAAGAACACAGATGTTGATATTATCTACAAAGTCACCATTCTAATGAAAACTGTAAAAACTCTGTCCAGCTATCAAGTTTGTTTCAAGCTGTCCAAAGCATTGAAAGTTATGCAACAGGCGGTAAGGGAACAACCCAAACAGCACAGTCATTCCAGCTGTGCACAGAAAGATGTGTCTGCGGAGACCAGAAAGCAGTCCAGCTGCAGGCTACTGCAATGAGAGGCCCTGCTTGCTGCACTCCTGTGCTGGGCCTTGAGACTTAGCACTCACACTTGTCCAAGGGAAAGAAGAATGTATGAAATGCTGCAAAGACACACAGACCTCCACTTGAAAAGCAAGGCTAGTTCCTGAGAGCAGGTTCTGACCAGGTGATTTAATATCAACTTCTTTTTGGGCTTTCTACCTGGACAACTAGTTACACATACAAGAAACTTGTCCAAAATTGCAGAATTCCTATTCCTGACTTTTTATTCCTGCAACAGTTCATGGTCCAGCTCTTACCTCCCCAGCACTCTTACCTCTAAGCAGTTGACAAAAAGCAAGTAAAGCTCTTTTTTGTCATTGTTCTCTAGGAGCTCGTTGTGCTCCACCCGGGACAGGTAGTGCTGCACATCATCTTTCACTTCATTGAAGCTACAGGAGAGAGAAACACTCCCTTACACAGCTGCAATCTGACAGCTACCACTTGTGCTCTGAATCACCACAGAACTACTAGTGATGTCTGTGTGACTGGTGATGGTCACTCTGGTCACACCTGGAAGATGGAAAAGCCATTGTGCCACATTTTGCAGGTGACATCTCACTTCCCAGCCTGAGCCAGACTTCCATCATCAGCCATGCTTAGTGAGCATTTCCAGGGCAGAAGTCATGTGGTCTGTGCTAACAGCTGATTTAGGAGATTATCACACCTGAGATGTGGCTCTTGTGCCCTGCTTGCAAAGGGAAGCTGGGAGAACTGTGGGGACAGGGAGGTCTGCAGACTGTATGGAGAATATTCCTGGTTAAATGTGGATGAGTATTGCTTTGCTGACCTAGACCATATCAACTACTCAGCTACCTTCTGGTTACCTAGCCATCCACCTTCTGCACAGGTTTGGCTTAGGAACAGCCAGGTAAACCTTGGCACAGACTGGCCAGAAACTCCACAACATGCAAACCAGCCAAATTGCATGAATAACACAAAGGCCTGGGATGGATTTCACCTGGAAGGATTCAAATCCAATGAGCAGCATGGAAGTGAGGAGAATGATCAGATGGGTTTGGTGAGGTCATGACCAAAGCTGTACCATGCCCTGGCGTGAGCCCCCTCAGCTGTCTGACTGTGCTCACCTGTACTTCAAGAGCAGCTTCAGCATCACTGAGCGGATGATGGGGGTTTCATCCACTTCATCATTGAATGGGGACAGGAACTTGGTGTAGATGGCAGGGTGATCTGTGCAGAGAAGGAGCACACAGGTTTGGCAGGTTGGAGAAGGTAGGGAGAGACTGAACTCCACTAGGCTGAGCACCAAAGTGAAGGGAGCTCACCTGAAGCTTTCAGGGGGATTCTGTGAATGAAGAGCAGGTTCAGGAGCTCCTGGATCACCTGTGTGTCAGGGGGTTTGTTGTCCTTGAAGCACATGGTAGAGACCACATCTATGAAGAAGTTGTTGCACCTCTGCCGGAACAGTGCGTTCCTTGCTATAGCATCTCTGAGGTAGGGGAAAAGCAGCAAGACAATATTCAAATACAGAAACACTTAAATAATGGAGGAGTCAGGCAGATAAGGGCAAAAGTCACCAAGGTGAGATACTTTTCCAGCTCTCCAATGAGATAGGCTTTAAGGTCCCTTCCAACCCAAACCATTCTATGATTCTGTGGTTTACAGTTTCCTTACAGAGGCCAAGGCAGATTCCTCCTCCTTCTGAAACAACCACCGGAATAGACAGGACCTGTTCTGGTTCCAGAGAGAACAAGCCAGAGCTCCCTCCCCCATTCTGCTCATGTGGACATTTCAGAGTTGAGAATTTCCTCACACAACCTGCCCCAGCACAACAGTCCCACCTTGCAGAGGGTGGAATACCTGAGCTCCACGGAGACGGTTAATTCCACATCCCCCATGTCAACTCTGCAGTATGGACAGTGCATCTGTGCTGGCACCAGCCATGTGCTGATGCACTTCTGGCAGAATGCATGGCTGCAAGGCAAACAGACAGGATCCTTTGGCTCTCCTAGGCAGATGGAACACGGCTTCAGACCGAGCCTGTAACCAAGAAAGAGCAATGAACACAACTGTTTCCATATGGTCTCACCAAAAGGCTTTGATAAGAGGTTCATCTGCACCTAGACCAAGAGGAGACAATACCAAACAGGCTGGCTCACTGCTTAGCTCAGGATGCAGAATCTAATGGGAGTCATTGCTCTTCACTTGGCTTTTACTACACAGCATGCAGCACTGCCCCACTCCCAGCAATACCCTGGAACACGGGCAATGCCCCTGCTGGACCCTGTGACTTGTCCCAGTGTCACTACCTGTAGACCTTGTTGCTGACTTCGTCCTTACACTGGCACAGCACTTTCATCACTGCAACAAAAGTTGGATGAGTCTTCATGTCTGAATCATGTTGAAAACACTGCAGAGGGAAAGGACAAAGCTTGGTGACTCAGCTCCAGCACCCGACACAAACTCCCATGATCAGCAGAAGAGAAGAGGGAAGAGGTGAAATCACAGCTTTGCTTACCTTGGCAAGAAGCAAAGTGTATTTTGTCACTAAATCCTCGAATTCTGGCATGACAGTGCTGATGCCTAATGCCACGTGTTCCACAAAGAGAGCCATGGCGAGCACACGGTTCCAGCAGGCTCTGGGGAGGCAAAGCAGGGTCTCAAACAGGGCTCTGGGAGCTGAGAGCAGGGGTGGCGGCGCATGCAGCTCACTACAACATCTCTGCACCTGTCACAGAATTCTTACTTTGCCCTTTGGTTATCCAAAGGGACTTTTGGCAAGGACAGAACACACAGCAGCACCTAACCAGGGAGCTCAGGGCACAGGGGCCTGGCCTGGAGGCAGAACTGCAGCAGGACCAGCACACTGCACACACCTTCTCACACTTCTCTATCAAGAAAGTAATTTTAAAAAATACTAATCACAATTAGCTACGCTTTCTTCACTTTTTATGAACTAAATAAGAAGAGAAACTCAGGTAGCTCTCTGGGCTTGTCTTTCAAAGGACAAGATGAATGAAGTTCCCCATCTCTCACAGTCTTTATGCACAGGGGATGAAGTGGAGAGACACTGCTGGTTAATAGGAACTTGAGGAGAGTTTTAAATAACCCCTAGACCCAGCTGGAATGCACCAGATGACACTTCCATATATAGAGGGAGAATCTACAGGAGATGAGGAGGAGAAAAAACAAAGAAGAGGCGTGGTTCTTGGTATGTAACTGAGCCCAGTAGGAAATGGAAAGGTTTGCAAAGTCTGAGAAAAGCAGCACCAGAGCAGCTTCAGCTGAACCAAGGCCCAAATGAACAGCCAGACACAGGATCACAGCTGTGAGCAGAGCTGTGGTGCCCACCTGAGCTCCCTCAGCAGCTGATGGCACAGACTCCCATCTCGCTGGGCATCCTTCTCTTTACAAAGAAATTCAATGGGCATGTGAAGATTCTTCACTCTCTGCAGCCACACCTCTGGCTGGACTGTCTGCACCTGGTTCTCCAGCTCTTCAGCACAGCCCATGGCAGCCAACACATCCAAAACCTGGATACACACACAGGGCAGAAGTGCAACACAACAGCTGCATTGCAGAATTCTGTATGGACCTTATGGGCCCTCAGTCTGGTTTGCTATAGCACGAGTTCTACTGAATAATGTTCTACCTGATTACCTTAAGCTCTGGAATTCACATGCTTGTGGCTCAGGTCATTAGCAGATCCTATTAGCTCATACAAAAGCAGGGCAAACTGCTTCAAAACCTGCTAGCAGCAATAACAGCACAGCAGGTCATTCCCAATTCTGAGGACCCTGACTGAGCTTGTGCATTCCCTGCTGCTGCTGCTCAAATCCCAAGGAGACTGAACACCAGCTGAATCAGTGCAGACAGAACTCCCTGCTAGGACCACAAAATGCCTGGTAGTGACTCTACCATCTCTGAATGTGGAGTTCCACATCCTTCCTGCTGGATGAGGTAGGGAAGCACACGGGGGTACACAGCCAGGATCCTGGAGAAGTTCTGCAGGCGGCTCCTGAACTGGTTGTAAGCAAGGTGGACCCAGGGCAGGGCAGACACCAGCTCCTCTCTGTGGGGGGACACTGCTGCCCACTCAGCTATGCAGGACACCAAGGCAATGCGCAGACACTGCAAGGGGAGGGAAAAAGGTAAGGCAAAGTGAAAAAGGAACTTTTATAACTTGTTCTGTACTGGAAATCCTGGCAAATTTCTCAGAGAGAAAAGAATCAGTTCCTTATGAGGACAGACTTAAATGTGTCAGTTTATACAAGTACTGCTGTGGAGGTCTGAGCAGTCTCAGCAGCCACTCAGTGTCCAGTGCATCTGCTTTGGGGTTCCCTCACTGTTGGTTTGTCTCAGAGGGGGATTTTCTCTGAAAGGCAGGACTTATCCAGAAGGACACCTTCACAGGCATCATGCTCTTCTCTCCTTCCAAAGGGTTTCCAGCTCTTGTTCCAGACACTGACCTGCAGCTCCTCCTGGGAGGACACACCGATGGTCAAGACAATAAAGTCTATGATGTAGCACTGGAAGAGCATCTGTCTTTCCTCCTCAGTCAGAGAAGAGATAAATTTTCCCAGAGCAGTTTTCTGGAAGATATCCACAAACTTCTCAGCGTGGTCTAGAAAAGGAATGCAGAGAAATGCTGGATATTTGGAGGAAGCTGCTTTGACACAGCAGCTATCCTAGAGAGGCCAACACCTAATTAATCACTGCTGCATCCAGCACTGCCCTCACCCAGGGCACTAATGAGGGACTCAGGCTCAGCCCAGCACCAGTGTCAGGTTTCTGGAATCTCACCTTGTCATTAACTCTTGGCATCTCCACAGCATTTTGAATACAAGGGCACAGAATAGGTGAGAAAGATTAATAGGGAGAAGCACAAAGAGCTTCCTGCACAGAGCTCTGCTGGTTCCCACAAGCAGAGAGGGACTGAAGGTGACCCCAGTGTCACGGAAGGGCCTGACAGTGGCAACCCAGAGCCCATAGGGCAGGTAAATGGAGATGCTCCATGCAAGCTGGAGCCAGGCTCTCACCTGCAGTGTTTTGGATGTATTGAGCTTCCAACCACATCTCATCCAAGTACTCCTTTATCCTCCAGCTGAAGGGCATCTTGTTCCCAGCATCAGCAGACACCATCATGCTGTTCTGCACCAGAATTATCTCTGGCTGAGGGCTGGGAGATCAAAAGGTCATTAATGCACTGGGCTTTTGTCTGGGAAGCACGTTCAGAAAACAGGCAGGAAGCTGCAGAAAGCAAGAAATCAGCCCTAGAAGGGGATGAGAGAAGGGGAGAGAGAACTGAGACAGCTCATCCTGCCAGCTGGGGAGCATTAGCACTTCCTCAGCCAGCATTCCCTGGCCAAAGGGCCATAGTGGCAGGACAGGTGGGTGGCAGGGGTTGGACAAGAAGTGTGAGCATGCCAAGAGCAAGAGAGCAAAGCCTAGAAGCAGTGGGGGTCAGGTGGGAAGAAGAGACTTGTGAAATGACCAAGAAGTGCCCTACTGCCCTCAGCACGGCACAGGGAGCAGCCAACAGGGCCCCTCTGCCCTGTGGGTTTAAAGGCAGTGCTGGACTGGTTCCAGTGCTGCCAGCCAAGCCCTCCTGCTGCCCTCAGGCTCACCTGCTGTTACCTACACCGGCAGGGACAGTCAGGAATTTGGTATCACTGAAGATGAACATCCACAGTTTTGTCACCCACTCTGCTGCTGGCTTGGCCAACAGCTCCAGATTGCCATTCCTGTCTATGACAGCAATCAGGAGAGCCAAGAATGGAGTGATCACCTTCTGGACTCGTTTCCACAGGGTGTGCCTGTGGGGCAGAGAGAGCGAGAAACCCAGAGGGAAGGTGAGCAACGACATCAGCAAAACAGGAGGAGATTGCCCGGAACAACTGCTGACATTTGTGTGTGAGAAAGTCCTAATCCTGCTTTTGAGGGGAAAAAATACTACCACCAAAACCCCTGCACTTCTCTCACTCCTGGCTCACCTGTTATCCCACTATTCCTTTTAAAGCACTTGTGCATTCCTGTCCCAGTACAGCCCAAGTCAGCTGTAAATCACCCTCCTCCTGCAGCCAGGAGAGGGTAAAACTGCCTTGGGAGAGTTTCCAGCACAGACTGGAGACTGATACTGCAGATATTCAGATTACACAAAGCTGCTGTCTCTGCTGCCCTGGTGCCACTTGCAGACTCCTCCTGGAAGGCTGCAGGTTACAATGTGCTGCTGCTGTCCTCACCTGAAGGTTCCTGCCTCCTGGAGAGCACTAAGGTTGGAAGCCTCCCAGAGCACCCAGTTCTTTAGGTGAAAGGAATTCTCTTCTTGCTTCTTCAAAAGGCTGCAGACACGAGCCTTGGTTATCCTCAGGAAATAGGCTACAAAACAACATGGAACTTTCATTTTCTCTTCTGTTAGCATTGGATCTAAATATCCCACCAAGCTCAGCATTTTACACTTGTTTCAATAATTTGCCAACTAGGGAAAAAAAAAGCCACCAGAGTCAGCACGGGCAGAGAAAAAGCCACCACCTAAAGCCCAGGAAAAGCCCTAAAACCACTACAGGAGCAAGAGACTGGAGCACAGACACACACACAATCTTGGGGCATCCTCCTTGTCTACACCACTACAAGGACCACTGACCTTTGGGTCCCCAGTGACCTAACTGACATGTTTTGGTGGTCCCCCAGCTGCCCAGGGACACTACCTGCAGCACATACCTTTGAAATCATCCTCTTTGGAGAGAAGGCCAAGGAGAATCTTAATTCTCTTTCTGCTTCGACTCAGATCCTCGTTCTGGTCACGCAGCATCCCCACAGCAGTCTGCACACAGGTCCTGAGGAGCACAGTGGTGTCCAGGATCTCACCCTGCACAGGAACAGCATGAAAACAAGACCATTACTCTTTGGTGTCACACCCCTGCCCCCAGCACAACCCTGCTCAGTGCTCTCTGCAGTGCCCCATGGCATTCCAGCTCTCAGCCTTCCTCTCATCTCACACTGCAAACCTAATTTCTTCTTTGCTATCAAGTACATGATGCAAATCCTGTGGCCCTTTCAAACTGGCCTGTGACACAGCATTTGTACTGAGCTGAGATTGTTTCAGGGGAAAAATTCAGCAGCTCAGGTAAAAAAAGTGAAGATAACAGATGTGACCAGAAATATTTACCCTCCTTAGGGAATGCTTGGGCTCCAGAGGGACACAAGCCACATATCCCTCATCCTGGGCATCCTACAGCTGAGGCACAGAGGAACACTAGGCAGTGTGAATGTGGCTGCAGCACAGCCAAGCCCTCAGCCAGCTCCAGTGCACACATCAAGGCACACACAGCCAGAGTGGCAGGCTCAGAACCACAGCTGCAGGGGGGAAATACAAACAGAAGCTTTAAGGCTGATTGTTAAAAATCTTAAGTATGAAATGACTAGGAATTAGAGGGCCCTTTGAATGGATTATTTCTTTAGTGATGCTGATTTTCACTGGGCAGTGGGGAGGAAGAATTTGAGCCTGATCATTAACATTCATGATGCAAATATTGCTGATGGATTTCAAGGCAATGGGGATGCAGAAGGTGTGTTGCAGCTCTGGATGATGGAGCAGAGAGCCATCCTGACAGCTGGGAAGCAAACAAATGAATTCTGAACTGACCTCATAGCGTTCTGCTTCTGGCATTGGTGTTCCAATCTGCACCTTATCCTCCTGTGCTTCTCCATTCGCAGGCAGAGCTGCAACTAAGGTATAGAATTTTTATTAGAAAGCAGCAGGACACTTCTGCATCAGTCAGGTAAGAGCTTATTTTAGCAACTGCATCCCAGAGCAGCACAACATCTGTCAGAGACCCATTAGCACCTGCATGAGGTAGCTGAGATCCACCTCTCAAGCACAGCCACAGCTGCTAGGGCTGTCAGGCTTCATATGCAGCAAGAACTGGAAGAAATATGACACTAAGCTAATGCCTTAATCTCTCCCAGAATCCTGTCAGGCAGTGTGGTGAAAGGAAAAAGAGTAAGAAAGAACTGAGGGGAAAGAAAGCCCCTTGTCAGTGGCCTCTGGCACACAGCACCTGCTGCCTCCCGTGCTGGGCCAGAGCACTCAGGGCACTGAGCAGTGCAAACACCACAATTTTGTCAAAAGGAAAAGGGAAAACCATCAAATCAGCTGGCTTGCTGACCTAAAGCTGTAGCAATGAACTAACTACAAATACAAGTTGGGAGCCATGTGGAGACCCCTGAAAAACAGGACCTGAGCAGGGAAAGTTGTTAGGTATGTTGTACCAGCGTCAGTTCCGGCAGCACCAAGTCTGGGATCACATCTCCCCTTCTCTCCACTGGCACAACATCACCATTGGCTGGCACAGCCAGCACATAGCTCACCTGTGCTTCTCCCTGGATCCTCAGAGAACATCTGGCTGATGGTGAGGTTCTGCAGGGCTGTCATGTCAGAGATCATGTCCTTAGATCTGCGGAGGTCATCGATGTGCACTGACTGCCACAGGCCTGAAGGCAGAGAACAACAAGAAATCATTCCATGCCTGCAGCTTGCTCTTCTAAAAGAGCTTCCCAAGAATCACCTGCCAGGACCTGTGGGTTTACATTCAGAGGCCACTTACTCCCACCTCTTGCTGTTGGGAGGGAAAGCAGAATTCACCTGGAACACATTGCTGCATGTGCCCCTGGTTGACAGGGCAGCACAGGACCAGGGCTCAGAGGCTCTCAGAAGCCACCAGACCCAGAGGAGCCTTGGTGCTGACAGCAGAACACATCAGCATGTGTTGAGGAGCCTCATGGAGGACAACACACCCATGGAGTTACTCTTGTGTTTGTGTGCTGCTCTCAAGCTGAGTGGAGAAAGGACTTGTTTGTCAGGGGAAAGGCAAGGGGCTCTCACCAAGGAGCTCAGCACTCCCAGGTACTGACCCCCAGGGACAGGGAAGCAGCTCTGACAACCCACAGGACACACAGAGCCCAAATTCTCAGCATTCAAAAGGACAGTGAGCAGGTGAAAGGTTTGCCTGAAGCCAGTTGAGGAGGGACAGAGGGGCAGACCCACCTCCATGGAATCCCACGTAGGACGTTCCTCCTTCCAGCCGGGAAAGCTTCATGATAAAGTAAACAAAGACAGAGACGTCTCTCTTGTTGATTTCATTCACAACTGTGTATCTGCAACAAGAGGAAATGCTGTTGGCAGAGCAAAGACACACAGAGGTTCGTGGCCACAGGTCCTTCCCCTAAGAGGGCATGTTTCCTCCCCTGAACATACATGAGTGGCTCTCAGCCCTTCCTCCAGGCCGTGGTGCTGAGCTGCCACCTCCAGCTGTGCCTCAAATGATCCCCCTGACCCTCAGCTCTGCAAGACTTCTGCAGCCAATGCCTGGAATTCACACTCCAAAGGAGATTATCTGCTTATTTGACCCAACTTAGTTTATTTCAACTTGGGCTACAAATTATTATTTGAAATACAGTCAGTGCTTCTCGATACATTCTGCTACAGAATAGAGAAAGGATTGCACATTCCTGAGTCTGAGAGCCCTAAGCAGCACTAATGATCCAAGGTGGTGAGGAGTGGCAAAGCAGAACTGAACCACCTCACACCCAACTCACTTGGCCGAGGCGATGAGCTGAGCATCCTGAGAGCCATCTTCAAAGTCTGTCTGAATAATGAGGATTTTATTTCCTGAGGTGGCATCCAGAAAATCCCTGAAGAGTGAAAAGGGATTTAACAGAAGTCACTGAGTACAACCACCAAACACTAAAGACTGCAGAACACTTTCTCCACATTAGCTTTGGCTGCTGCAGGCAGGAGAAGAGATTACAACACCAAAACCCATCATGGTGTGATGGAGCTGATAAAGTTTGCCCCGAGTCAGCACAGGCTCCTGTCTCCCTTCTCCATGTGTGTTACTCCAGATGCTCTGCCCACCACCTCCCACCAGCCAACAGCTCATTCTGAGCAGGATAACACAAGCCCAGACTCACCGGATGCCCTTCAGGAAGGAGTACTCCGTGTCAAACTGCTGCAGGAACAGGATTTGGAGCTTTTGGGCTTTCCCCTGCACCTCCCTCTCCAGGCAGGCAGCGTCAGCACTGGTGAGCAGCCGTGAGAAGGTGGTGACCTGGGGACAAGGGCAGGAGTGCAGCAGGGAGGCAGCACAGACTCACCCACCTGTGCTCCCAGCAGTGAGCTGTCCTGCCAACATGGGCTGTTACCCCAGCACAGAACCACTCCTGGTGCTGCCAGAGATGGGACAGCTAAGGCTTGGAGAAACTCCTTGTTGAAGTCCAGCAAGTCCAGCCCTGGGACAACACATGCTGTCTACAGGTGAGGCAAGGGAGGGATGAGGTCTCCAGCCAGTCTCAGCCAAAGTTCTTTAGCCTTGGTATCAGGCAAAAGTGGAGCAGAGGTATTCCCATGGAAGGTCCTCATAGAATCCCAAACTGGTTTGGGCTGGAAGGGACATTAAGGCTCGACTCACTCCACCTGCTGCCATGGGCAGGGACACCCTCCACTAGCCCAGGTTGCTCCAACCTGGCCTGGAACACTTCCAGGGATGGGGCAGCCACAGCTTCTCTGGGCAACCTGTGCCAGTGCCTCACCTTCTTGTGAGGGCTAAAGGCTTTTATATCCTAAAGCCAGTGACAGACACGAAGAAATGAGGGTTCCAAGGCTCCTGATGACTTGCTCTGCAGCCAGCAGCCTGCTTGGCTGTCTGTGCTCACAGAGACAGAACTGCTTTCAAAGTAAAAAGATGTATCAGCTGCACAAACTCACTTAACCCCTCAATTCACCAGGGAGCAAATACACACAGGGAGCTTCACACACAGCACAGGTATTAGATTCTTCAGGGTGCAATGACACACCTGCTGAAACACTCACTTCTGCACCTCTGCACCCACCTCTGCACACCTGCACCCACCCCTGCAGCCCTGGGCACTACCCAGGTGTGGCCATCCTGCAGCCCTGGCAGTAGAAACAAAACGAGTGCAGGTCGGGAGGGGTTTGGGAGGAATCCCAAGACACTCACCTCTGTAAAGGCCTTTTGACACTCAGCCCCTGCGTGGATGTGGGCGCGAAGGAAGTCTGCAAAGGACGTGTGCTGCTGCTGCTTGAAGTATGTGTTGGCCAGAGAATCTGCCATGAACATCCCCACAGAGTTGCAGAGGCGGATGACAGCGTCGGGGGTGGCACAGTTCAGCAGAGCCAGTTGGGCTTCCCTCTTCACACAGGACAGGAGCTCCCCAGGGGCACACACTGCCCTCAGCCTCTCCGTGGTCTGCAGCACCACCGAGGCACAGCTGTTGGAGTGGTAGCCCACGAACACGTCATGAGGGCTGTACTGCTGCTTGCTCATGAAGTGCCTCTCCGTATTGACCGCGGTGAACTCGTGCACCCACTTCTTCAGCTCTTTCACCACTTCCCTCTGCCCTTTGTCCAGGACAGTATTGATATCCAGGTAGTGCTTTTCCAGCCTGTTGATCAGTGGAATGGGAAAGTGCTTGTACACCACGTCCTTCTCCTCGATGACTATCAACCGGAACTTGGGGTGCACTCGACACTTCACCCGGTGGGTGCCCAGTCCCAAATCCACATACTTCTGCCCAGCAAGGTACACGTAGTACTGGTTGAGGGCGTCGTAGAGGCTCTCATAAAGGTTTTGCAAGTTGAGGAGCACAACCATTTGGCCAGTTTCCATGCAGACCTTCACACGGTTGATGTTCCTGCATATCTGGGTATATTCTTGGTCCTTAGGGAAACTGGAGCCAAAGATGATTTCTGGCTGCTGTTGAGCAGCAAAGAAAACTTGCTGGAGGATCTGCAGCGCTGCATAGTTCTCAGTCAACACGAGCAGGTACCTGCAATCCCCATCCTCAGCACTGCTGTAGATGTTCTGTCGGACCAGCTCGATTCTGCTGATATCATGAGCATGAATCTTTTCTTTTTCTGGTAAGGCTGAGGTGAATATTTCCAAGGCATTGACATCATCTTTGCCACCAAAGTTCCGAAGAACCACCCCGGCGATGTCCTGAGGTGTTGGGTCACTTCTGGAGCTCTTAGCTAGGGCAAAAAACATCTTGATGAGGCTGTAGTAGTCACGCAGACCAAAGAACTCCCTGTCCTGGGCCTCGCAGATCTTTTCATATGCATCTGCAAAGTGACAGAAATACTGTTCGACCTTCTGCAAAGCTCCTCGTGCCGAGCAACAAATCCCCTTCGCGCTCTCGATGAGCTCCTCTCTGCTGGGGTCCCCACGGGAGACAAAGATGCCTCGATTCATCTTAGCAGGGTCCAGAGCCCAGTTGGAAATCCCGATGAATCCAACCTTTTTGTGAGGAAGGGGGACATCATCTATGCAGCCATCTTCCAAAAGTGGATGCAAAGTCTTCAAGGGCATTTTGGGAGAGTCTTCTGCCAGCCCAATCTCATCCAAAACCACCACTGAGACATACTCCTCCAAGTTCTTCCCTTTCTGGAATCGAGCACAGTGCTTGAAAGTGCCTATGATGCCCTCTGGGGTGGAGAGGGGGCTGCACTGAAACGACACCAGATGGATCTGCTTCAGGTCCTTGAACAAATCAGAATAAGCTGCTTGGCCCTGCATAGCATCGGCCACGATGGTTTTTGCAAGGGACTTGGAACTCCCAGGCTTCCCCACGAGAAAAAGAGGGATTTTCAGCTCAATGCAGATGACCATCATAAAGACATTTTCTTTCAGGGCCAAGTTTCTTGCTATGGTATCCCGGAGCTGCACACCACTCAGGAACAGGTCCTGCATCAGGGAGATCTCTTCCAAAATCTTTTTCTGGCTGTCATAAGGCTTTGGAAGGACGTGGCTGATAGCACTCCTGTACGCCTCCTTCCTCTCCAGGGACGCATGATAGCAGACCCCAACCGCCAGCACCAAGGACCAGATAACACTGTTCCGCTCAACGCTGCCCTTCGGAGCTTTCTTCTCGGTCAGGTACTTTTCCAGCTCCCTGAGCAGCAGGTTGCTGTGCTTGTAAAACCACTTGAAGACTTCCATGCAGCGTTCCACATCCCGCAGGCTGACGAAGCTGCACTCGTCATCCCCCTGCCTCATGTGCTGCTGGGAGGCAAAGAGCACTTCTGTGATTGTTTCCACCTCAGGCTGCACCGTGGGGACCTGCTCCGCCACCCGCTGCACGATCTGCTGGATGTACATCTTCTCAGTCAAGTTGTTCAGTTGCCCAAAGTCCCACACCAGTGGGATCATGCTGGGGGGGAGGGCATGAACCCGGTACACGAGCTGTCTCAGGGGGATGGACCCAAGCTTCTCCTTGGTCGCATCTGCTTTGACACGGTAGCCCAGCCCAGCTAACTCCAGGCGTTGGATCATCTTTGGGGTGTGCTTTCGATACGGGTTGCAGGCTGCTATGATCTTCAAGCCAGAGTCACAGGCCAAAGGCTCCCCCTGCACTGTGTGGTCACACAGAACTTCCTTGATGCTGCTCACAGCCTCTGTTGTGTTTGCTTCATCAAAGAAGAGGATAGTGTCCAATCCGTGCTGCTTCTTGTTGGATTTAGCCAGGGCTTCTGCTTCTCTGATCCTGGCATAGATCATCTCTGCAGTGGTACCTCCGTGGACTTTGACAAGCTTCATGTTCTCTACCTCTACATAGCTCTTGCGTAACTGGCACAGAAACTTCACCAGCCTGGTTTTCCCACAGCCTGTTTCTCCCATGATGACAACTGGGATGTTGCATCGGAATCGCATCTCGATAGCCAAGATTTTCAGCACGTTGTCCATGGTGAGCTCGTACGTCTCATCAGGGTCTGTCACCCAGGGGATCCCCAACACCATGCAAAGCCTGTCGAGCTTCTCATGCCGAGGCAGCTGGTCGAAGGAAGTGTTGAAGGGAACTCTCTGCAGCAACAAGCCCTTGTACAGCTGTGTGGTCATGATGTTTCGCTTGATGATGTTACCATTCAGAGGGTTTATGGCATCAACACCCCGAAGGCCATTGAGTTGAAAATGGAAACCAATGAATGTCATGGACACATGATCTTCATTGAAGAACAAATAGGGGTGAGGCTCAGACTCCCACTTCTTCCGAATGCGGAAAGGGAGAAGATCTTCCTCCGCAACGTCCTCCAGGTGGGAGGATTGTCTTCCTGAGCTCTGGTCGGAAATGTGCAGGGAAGGTGTTGCAAAGTCCCTCGCCATTAAAATCATGAAGGTAACCACGAAGTTTTTGAAACCTTTCAAAGTGTCCTGGACAAATTCAGGGTTGCAAAAGACAGAAGCTTCACAGTCTCTCAACTGGATATTGAGGAACCAGGTAAAGTTTCGGAGCTCTGCCCAGGAGGGATCTATGACCCCACAGTGCAGGAGGAAGAGCTGCAGGCACTCTGCAGGGCTCCCTTCCACCGAGTTTGCTTCGTACCAGAACATGTCCAGATCACACCCCTGGTCAAACCTCTTCAGGTACTGGAAAGGTCTCTGGAAAGCCTCGCTGCAAAATTCCTCCTGGTCCATTCCTGGGTCCCAAACATGCCCAGGCTGCTTCCCAAGAGTCTCCATCTCTAGTACTTCTTTGGGAGACTTACATGTTACTTTAGGGAACACATCTAAGAAGTTATACTTCTGGCTCACTGATGTCTGGAGAAAAGGAAAAGAAAATGCCATCACAGAGCTGTTCTTTAGTTTAGTTAATGTGTTCTTAACAGTCTCCTTGCCTAGAACCACAGACCTGAGTAACAGAAGCCACACAACCAGGACACCTTTTCCCCTGTGTATCCCTTCTTCCACTCAAAGTGCATCACACCAATGAATCCTATTCCCTCCTACACTCTCCTTCCTGGAACCTGAGTTGCGTGTCACCTCCAGACCCTTCTCAGTGCTACCTCAAAGAAAACTAAACCCAAGAAACTGTTATTTATTCCTGTCACGTCTACATTGTTCTTACACATAAATATTCCAGTATTTCCAAGCATGCAAGTTACCATGGGGAAGGTTAAGTTTTGCACTTTTGTGTTTTTTGTAAACGTTAGGGTGGGCCCAGTGAGACTTGGACTAACAGGCCTTCAGAAATCACCAACTCAAGGAAACCACAACAGGTCTAATTTACTGTCTGGTTTTAAGGTCACTTTGTCCAGCTGCAGGGACATCACTTTGTAATGAGACACAGCACCAGAGAATTCCTGTGCTGTGTTTACAGCTACAGCCTCTACAACTCACCACAGCTCCATACCAACATGTGCAAAATAAGTGAGAGATGCACAGAAACAGAGCATTGCTGGGTACATACAGGCCTGGCTGCTTTCTTTGGCACTGGGGACACCTCAAGGATTTCAATGATGTACAGGTGGCACTTCTGTCGTAGCCACATATTGCCATTAGTATCAGTCAGGTACTGCAAAACCAACAGCTTGAAGAGGAACTCTGGAATTCCATGTTGCACCTACCAGAAGAAAAAACAGAAAGGCATTTCCTCTTTATTCACCCATCACAAGTTCACAGAATCACACGACAGTTGAGGGTGGGAAGGTTCTCTGCTCAAAGCAGGCTCAGCTAGAGCAGGTTGCCCAAGGCCACATCTAGTCAGGGTTTTAATATCTCCAAAGCTGGAGACTCTGCAGCTTCTCTGGACAACCTGTTCCACAGCCCAACCACCCTGATGGCAACAGGCTCCTTGTGTTACTTACACAAGGACTAGAAAACACATCCCAGTGAAACAGCTTACTAAGAAATAAGATCTTTAAAGAAACAGCTTCCGCAAGGACCCACACAGGACTCTTAGGACAAGGCAGCTGTGGGAGGGATGAACTTACTGAGGAGGTGATATCGAAATGGAAGATCATGGGCTTTGTCTGGTGCTCTCTCTTCAGAAAAGGCAGGAGAGATTTTAGCACTTTATCCTCATCCACTTCTGGTTCAATTAGTCTGATGGTTTTCAGAAGTTCTGTAGAGTCAGGATGCTCTTCTTGCAGCCTCTCATGTAACCTCTTCACATACAGAGATTTCCCTGTTACAAAAAGCACCACAAGAACCAAAGCCATCGATATCAAATACATCATATTAAGGCTGTAATAGAAAGAAGGAAATGAAATGCTTAAGTACTCCATGATCTGAAATCTCTGAACCTTCCTAAAAGGCACTGCAGAAAAAGAAAGCCTAAATCTGGTTTGAGCAGCTGAAGCCTGGAATCCAAGCCACTGCTCTTGCTATCCACATGCTTGTTTTGCTTTGACTACCTGAGAGAGACTTTGCTCTTTACTAGGACTCGAATCTACGCTATTATGTGCTTGTTTCTAAAGTCAAAGCAGGTTAAGAACACAGCTGACACTACAACTCTTGCCCAGTATTCTTGGCGACTTGCAGCTCAGGAGCTCCAATGTCAGACAGCATCTTTGTGTTCAATAGCTCTTGATGGGAGTTTCTCTCCCAACTGTATCTGATCCATTTTAATCTTGTGTAAAGGGTTCCACAATTTAAGGAAGCACTGTTTGAAGAATCACTTTCCTCTGTTTGCTTTTCAAGCAGTTTTACCTAACATCCCCCAGCTTTTTGCTTTAAGAGACACTGAATAACCAATTCCTACACAGACAACCCTCGTCCCACCTCACAGTCATCTTCCTGCAGGCACATGTTACCCTCAGCAGGTCAGATTCAGCTTCCTGCAGCATCAGCTATCTGGTTTGTGTTAATTACACAAGTGAGCAGAACGAGAGAGGTGCCAGATTAGCAAAACGCCCCATCTCTGGAGATGCCCTCTGGGCAAGATGAGACTTACAGCTTTCACCTCACTCCACTGACCAGAGTCTGAACCATGCCTTTTGACTAAGACACTTATGGCTTGGACACAGAACCTGGCAAGGTGAACTCCACTCTGGTTTTCAACCCTCAGCAGACCCTACTTTACATCTTACCCACACCAGCTCTTTTGGAGGACACGACCCCAACACACATGTTGTCCTTGAACACGGCAGAGGCTGAGCTGGACGGCTGAGCCACACGGTAATGGTGCTGCAGGTACTGCTGGACTTCTGCTCGTGGCCTCTGGGGGATCATGTGTACTTTGTACTGGCTGAAGGCTGAAGGGATGTAGCTGTGCTCCCGCTCACAGTTGCACAGGATGATGAGGCGATAGGAGCTGCTGCAGTGCCGCAGGCGCTGGAACAGCTTCTCTGCTTTGCAGCTGACGTCGTAACTCAGCTCGTCTGCGTACAGCATGGTGTAAATCCTCTCCCCTGCGCTGCAGGGAATGAGGCACCTCCTGAGGAACAGCCCCACCTGTTCGGCTGTGGTCTGGGGAGTGCACAGGAGAACCTCATCAAAGGTGGGAAGGGGCTGCTCGGGGCTGTTCATGTAAATAGCCAGTGCAGAGGTGAGCACCTCGGCGCGAGGGCAGGTGATGAGGTTGGGCTGGCCAACACACAGGAGGTCCAGAGGGAACTCTCTGGTGATACACTCCGTGCCCTGGCTGGCCAGGCTCTTCAGCCACCTGCCCAGCGTGTCGATATCCAGGCAACTGGGGAGGAAGGAGCCCATGTCGCTCATGTAGCTCTCCCAGATGCACTCCAGCTGGGCACTCAGGTCCTTCTCACCAACCAGCAGCACTTGAAAGTCAGGAATAGCTTTCCTTGAGCTGGGAGGCACCTCACTTCTGAAGGCTGAGAGGATATTCTGCTCAGTGCAGCTGCGATTCAGGAAGGAAAGCATCATCAGGGCCCCCTGGCTGGGTGTGCCCTGCCCCAGCTCCGTGCACAGGTACACCAGCTGCTCTGCAGTGTAGTAGTTCAGGTAGAAGTGCTGCAGTCGTTTTTTGTACATGAAGCTTTCCCAGACCTCCAGGAAATTCTCCATCGTCTTGCAGAGGCGTGGGAGCACAGCTGCCATATCCCCTTGCCCTTCCAGCACTGGGATGGGGCCCAAGGAGAAGTCTATAAGAACACAGAATTCTCTTTTGGGTGAACAATACACATGGGCGAGCCAGGAGCGGAAAAGCATGTTCCCAGCTGAATAAAGGTCTATAAAGGCCTGTGCAAGCCTCTGGACATTGGAGAAGACCTGTGTGATGACAGAGGGGAAAAAAAAAACTAAGCTGATTTATCAAGACAAATTCCACACATGAAACCACAGGAAAGATTTGCAGTGAAAAGAAAGGCTTTGGCCCAAGGTGTGTCAGGCCTTGTACAGCAACCACAGACACTGAGACTTTTTAACAGCAGTATCCTCAGGAAACCAACACGGAACCCCCAGCTTGCTACAAAAGCACTGTGATGCTGCCAGCCAGGAGCATCCCCAGTGCAGCCAGAGGGTAAGGGCACCAGTCCCCTGTCTAGTGTCCAGCTTAGTCCCACTTTAACAGGGACCCAAGGAGGCAGGAACACACATCTGACTGTGACCATCCAGCCCCAGCACCTCAGCTGATACTCAAGGGAAAATCCATCCCTGTCCCCAACAAGAATAACCTGCTGGGAGTGGAATCTGACCTCAGAGAATCTCTCCACCTCCAGGCCTTGCTCTCCCTTTGCTGACATGAGCATCAGTTTGTTCTGCAGCTCACGGAGCTCGGTCAGGGAGTATTTCCATGGGGTCTCGTTGTCTCCTGAGCTCCCTGGGAGGGTGAAATGCAGGACATTGTCCAAAGAAACCTGCCAAAGGAGAAGTCATGAGGAGACATGTGAGAGGCTCTGTTCCCGAGGCGGTGCTGTGCCCCGCAGCCTCCAAAGAGGAACTGTGCAGTGGGAGAAGAGCTCCAGCCTGTTCCTGGCAGCAGTGCTGAGGAACAGGAGCCAAGCAGCCTCACCTTCTGGCCATCAGCTGGTGCTCTCAGGACATAGACTCCTCTGCTGTTGATGGCAGCTGCCAGTGACAGCGAGGACAGCTCCACCGAGCCGTGGCTCTCCTTCACTGTCTTCAGCCACGCCAAGTGCTGAGCTGAGGCACACTGTGGGGACAGGAGATATGGCACTGCCCTGAGCACTCTGACTGGGCAGAGTTGCCAGGATTACTTCTGTGTTCAGGACAAACAGCTTGGGCTGGCACGAGAGCTTCAGGATAGGGAAGGAAGAAAGCAATGAGTACTGGCCACAGCCTGGTCTTGCTGCACAGCTCTTTACCCACTCCATGGGAGGCTGAACAGAGCCCACAGTGCTCCAACACCTCTTGCTATAGAAACAGGCCTTGCTGCAAAGGATAAGAGTTCCCAGCCATCTGTCCCCACCTCTTTCACATCATCCTCCAAACTTGCATGAGCAATGCTACACCATGTCACACTGGAAAGCCTCGGTAGCGGCTCTGGAGAAACCTGTGCTACACCTGTTACAGTTGTTGCAGTTAATTTTTGTGCCAAAAGAAACATTAGATTTGCTTTTTTTTCCAAAAAAATTGCTGCTGTGGTGTCCCTACACAAATACCATTTGCCTCATGCAAACTTTAGCCACCCTTGGAAGGCAGAAAGGCAGGAGGATGCAGGGAGAAGCTGCTCCAGCAGCACTCACCAGTTTCTTGGGAAGGTTCTCATCGCTGTCCAGGGCTCGCCACAGCTTCTGCAAGCAGCGCATGAAGTCCTCAAACCCTGACTCCTGCCTCAGCTCATAGAGCAGGGAGGAGTAGCCATGCACAGTGTCGTGGAAACAGGCCACACGGTCCACGTCCATGTCGTTCTCCCCAGCAGAGATGGATGCCAAGTCCACAAACACCTTCAGCTCATTTATATCTTAAATGAGATAAACACATGAATAAACCACAAGTGAGGTAGCTTGAAGGCAGTTCCACATCACCACTCGTACAGGAAACACAAACAATGTCTTCCAACAGTATCTCCTGCTGCAGCTTCCCAAGGTGTTCCACTTGTCCTAGGGACGTCCATGCCCCTGATGCCCACGTAGAGCCACCACCAGCACATCCCCAGGCAGGCAGTGAGCAGTGCCTGGGGTGTGTCTGTGCAGGGAGGACAGCTCAGCTGGCAAACACACAGCTAACCACGCTGCTGCTGCCTCTGTTCTCTCAAACAACCAGTCTGAAGTCAGCAGCAGCAGCTACTCCAGCCCTCCAGCCCCAGCCCAGCTCCCAGGCAGGGTGGTTACTGTGTGCTGCCCCAGACTGCAGTGGTATGGGCATGTTTAGATGGACTTCATAGCACATTCCACACCAAAACCCAGCAGAGCTCCTCAAAACCATCAATACCAGGAGATGAGAAGCTATAGAGCAGATGGGTCAAGGATACACAACTCTTTCTGCCCCCAAAACAAGCTGCCATCCCTTCTAGTGCTCTGCCTGATTCCTGGGTGAGCAGCACACACCTGTCAGTGCTTCTCTGACCCAGGAGACAAATTCCTTCTGCTTGGCCAGCTCCCTCAGACAGCCACGGCGGGTCACGGTGATCCCCTCCAGCAGCCTCTTGGCATGCACAAGCTCAGGGCTGATGGAATCCAGCTTTTGGGTCTTGTAGGATTCAAGCTTTTCTGTCTGCAAAGCAAGCCATGAGAATACACACTCAGTCTGGAATTGGCAAATGGCACTGGTTCTCCAGCAGGGAAAGGAAAGCCCTCTGCAAAGTCACCCCCCAGAAGAGGAATATCTTCTCTCTTTTAGGAATGGCTACACAAAAGCACTTTGGACACCTGATTTTTACCTCAGATAAGCATTTTGGGACAAGGAATGGCTCTTGACAGACTTGTGGGAAAGATCAGATTTACCCAAGCTTTCTAGCCAACAGCCAGTACAGAGCTGCAGAAGGAAATACTCACTATATCCAACAAGTTTTCCAGGATACTGAAGTCACCAGAGAGGCCCAAACTCTCTTTGACATTGGCAATGATCTTTGCAGCATCAAAAGTTAAATGCATTTCATGGTATTGCTGGATCTGCTGAAGTCGCTGGTCAACCCAGCCTCTGTCTTCTACAGGATGAAGTTCACAGATGGTGTCCAGCTCCAGTCTGAGATCTTCAGGATGGTTTGTGAATTCTTGGAAAATAGAATCAACTGCAGAAAGCGTCAGACTTCCTGACCTGAGATCCTCATAAAGCCTGTCATAGATCACAAAACAAGGGATGATTACACTGCCGAAAACTTCATCAAGGTCCAACTCAGGAACAGTGTTGTCCTCATCCTCCTCATATTCCTCTCCTGCCTTCTGTGCTGCTTTCTCCCAGAGCTGCTGGAAGATCAGGCTGTCCTTAAAGGAATGCATTTTATGGGCAAATTCTTTCAGGTCTGGGCACAGGCTGTAGTAGGTCTGCAAGGGTCTCTCTCCTGCATTCACAACTTTGTTTAGTCTTTTCTTACGAAGATCTTCACCGTGCTGAAGTTCCACTTCACCTACATCCACTGCAAAACAGAGACAGGTCAGGGAGGGGTCAGCGTGCAGCCTGGGTCCAGCTGGCTCCATCCACCCCCCAAGCCACACATGCTGCCAGGCAGGTGGACCCTGTAAATGTCATTTGGTGCACAAGCATTCCTGTGACTCCCCAGCACTCTGGGTTTGCTTCCCCCAGCCCTCCTCACCCTCACCATGGTTGACAGTCAAACCTGCCCACAAAGCCAGGTGGTTTTCACAAGGAAAACTATGTTTTTCTGGAGTTGCCACTTTCAGACTGCCTCCCCCCCTCCCCAGAACTCTACCTTTCACAGACTCCTGCACCTTCCTGCACATGCTCAGGAAGGTTCCTATTGCCTTTTTCTCCTTTCTGAGCAGTGTGACCTCCTCTTGCCTCCTCTGCAGCAGTTCTTTCAGGCTCCTCTGGAATTGTTTCTTCTCTTCATGTGGCAGTTGCTGATTCTCTGAAAGAAAACTCATCTGTAGACACAAGGCAGATACTTCCCACTCCAACTCAGGTTTGGATTTGCAGAGTCCCAAACCACAGTGACAACACAAACTGGAGCTTGGAGCTCCATACCAAGGCCAAAGGGCTGCACTGCAAACTGCTGGAGCACCTCAGTATTCTCAATCCCTGGAGCACCAGCAGAGCAGGCCACCCATCCCCACAGTGATGCCACCTTTGGACTTGTCTCTTACTTGTCTCCCAAATGCAGATGAATTGCATCTCATGCTGGAAAACCTCTTCCAGATGTTTCACACGGACGCAGCCATTCTGAATGTCATCAGTGATGCTCATAAGCACAGAGTCTGCTGTGGCCATCACACTCTTTGCTTCCTCTGTGAGTTTTTCTAGGAGATTTCTGTTTTTTCCTGTCCCAGAAACAAAGCATGCCAAGCCTAGATCAGCCCTGCTTCCCAAACACCAGGCAGAATCAGGAGCTATCCATGCCATGGTACAGAGCCCTTCCATTTCCTGCTGGATCCCTACCCAAAGCTTCTGAACCACAACAGCCTCCAACCCCTCATGTCTTTCTGAACAAAAATGGGTCTCAGGATAGCAACTGGGAAACCTCCCATGGAGAGCCCAAACCCTGTAGAACAAACACAATCCATTTGGATCCAGCCCCACGACCAACACTTTGGCACTTCTGGGTGGCAATAACTTGTAAGAATTCCTCAGAGAAATGGTTATGTCTCCAAATCCTGCAGGAGATTATGACAAGAAGAATACTGACTCCCTCCTCTTTAGCCTTTCCTCTCCAGAACCAGCCTGAATACCTTGAACTTTGGGATGAGGAATAACACAAGAGCAGGACAGTTTCTCTCTGTTTGCTGCTCTGCACAGTGGCAGTGGTGAGGCAGACAACAGCTCAGAGCCTCCTACAAACCTAACTATGGACATACCACTGAAGCTGAAGATATGTTTGATGTCAGGCCACGTAAGCAGATGGTGCAGAATCTCATCAAAGTCCCCCTCAGCCTGCCCAGTGCCGATGGGCCACGATGTCACGATAATAGTTGACACGAGCTGGCTGAACTGGCCCAAGTTGTAGGCAGATATCTTCTCCAGGAGGTTGCTCTGTGTCTGCCAAGGCACACAGGAGAGGGGAGGGATGTGTCAGGGTCTGGGATCACACTGCATTTGTGTCTCAGAACTGGGCACTGATGTCCAGGCCTCACTCCAGTGCTGCCTCCAACAAGAGTGGTGTGACATGACTGACACCAGAACTCATGATGGCAGAAGCATCACAGGTATTTCTCACAGACCCTTAGGAAGTGGATCCTCATTTCCTGATTTCTTGTCAGTATTTTTTGTTGTTGGTTTAACAAACTTAAAACAATCCACAGCAACTCAAGTAACATCCAACTCTCCTTCCACCACCAGGCACATCCCTGTGCCACACAACAGGATTCCTGTGCCATGGGAAGTTTGACTCTTCTTTTTCCTACCTTCCCTACCTTTCCTTTCCATCCTTAACTACTTCCCTTTGCTGCTTTTCCCCTCCCCTACCAGGGCAAACACAGTACCTGGCAAGCTGCAGTCACAGCCTCTGTAGCACAGTTCTGGAAGCACCACATGATGGAAGAGTCCAGCCCTGTGAGAAGGTGGTGCTGACAGCAGTACACCAAAATTTGGTTCACTGGAGGCTCCTAGAGGGCAAAAGGGAGATTTATCAACATCCAAGTTTCCAAAGGGTTTCTTCTGACAGCAGGAAGGAGTGCTGCTATCAGGACAAGAAAAGGAACCAAGACAAGTGTAAGATTCATGGTGGAGCCAAGAATCAGCCCATTCCTCAGGGCCTGGAGGAGAGATGAAACATTCATTATTTCCATCTGAAGTGTGTGATTACTTAACATGCATCTCTCCAAGCTAAGCTTCCAGCAGGAAATATTTGTTTCCTGATTGCCCCATGGAAATCAAAGGCTTAAAAGACTTCTGCAACTGCAGCAGAAAGGAGATGAGGAGAAAAACAAGGTCAATTTAGATGGGACTTAGACCAGTAGGTGTGCATTTGGGAGCCTGAACAACACCATTTCTGCACAATGAATGAAAAGAGAAGCACCAACTTTGCTTCTCTGAGCCCTTGAGTTCTTCCCTTACACTATAGCCAAAGGTTCTTACAACTCCAGAGATGGGAATTGCTCACCATGTGCCATTTCCCTGGAAGCCCCAGGAGGTCAGTCTCCGCCAGGGCAGAGTGGCCCTGCAGCCAGGCAGGCTGCTGACACCAGGATTACAGCATGGTACTTTGTCATGGCCAGTTTTTAAGCCTCCAGAACATGGTTTATAACAGCAATGGCAATTTACATGCCCAAAGCTCCCAAGTCTCCACCTGCTCCTTCTCCAAGCACAGCAGCAGTTTGACCCAGGAGCCACCACTGCCTGGAGTCTCCCCCTCACCTCCTGGATTCTCCTCTCCAGATCTGCAAGCAAAGTCCTCCTCCACGTCTCTGTGAACTTCTCATCTGGAAAGCTAATCCTCACAAACTTATCCCAGGCCTGCAGGGGAGAAGCAAACAAACCCAAACCACTAAGTACTGAGGTTTCATAGTCCAAGAAGGAAATTAATAGCACAATGTAGAGGAGAGGCCTCACACTCCCCACAGGCTGTAGTCCTTCCAGATGTTTCCATCCAGAGGAAAAGGAGCACTCCCAGAGCTCCATAATCAAAAATGCCCCAGCTGCTGAAGGAGACATTTGGATGAACCATTTCCACCCTGATGCTGGACACTGCCCCAGGGAGGGCTGGGTGCAGTCAGGGGCTGCTCTGAGCTTTGCCAGCCCTGGAGGACAACCAATGGGGCATACAAGGAGCACGACAACACCACCAACGGGCAGCTCCTCACCCTAGCAATGTCTTTGGAACAGCCAAAGGAAAGGAGAACTAAGATGAGCTAAGCAACACCTGTGAGCCCACCAATGGCTCAAACACTGCCCATCCCTATCACACTCCTCATCCAGCCACAACAGCTACAGCCCCTAGCAAAGAGCCATATTAGGCTCAGGACTCTGTGGTTAAGCTACAGTAAAACACCCCTTTGTTCATATTATTAGAAGATGACAAACCCTGAGTTCCCAATACAATGAGAAGGTCACGTGCTCCAGGTGTTCTTTCAGTAACTTCTGGTGTAAAGTGTTCCTGAACCAGGTTCGAGTGTCCCTCAGAGCATCACTGAACACTTCCACCACTGGGTCCTCCCGCACAGCACCTCTTGGAACCTGCCCCACACACAGGAAAAAATTAAAAAATAAGAACAGTTCAAGCAGGAGAGCAACACACAACTGATAGATATCAGTATTTCTAAAGGAAGGACTAAATGCACTCAAAGCATGAAAACACCCAGCAACAGCCTCACCACTGCCTGAGCTAAGGACAGAGGGAGGCTGGGAAAATGCTATGCTTACAGTTAGTTTGTGCTTAAGAACACCTGTGGTAGGAATCATAGAATATCCTGAGCTGGAAGGACCCATGAAGATCATCAGTCCAACTCTTGACCCTGCACAGATACCCCAACAATCCACCCTGGGCCTGAAAGCATTGGCCAAACACTCCTGGAGCTCTGCAGGCTTGGGGCCGTGACCACTGCCCTGGGAAGCTGTTCCAGCTCCCAAACCAAACACCTCGAAGAACCTTTTCTAATATCCAACGTGAACCTGTTCCCAAACACCCTCTGGGGGAAGGACTTTGTCCTGATATCCAACCTAACCCTGTCCCAGTGCCCAAACACCCTCTGAGGGAAGAACCTTTGCCCAATATCCAGCCTAACCCTCCTCTGACACAGTAAAGGCTTAAGGGAGGAAAAAACCCAGACCTAAACCAAAGCTTTTGGCAGGCCAACCTGAGCATTTGACCTTTCTTTCAATAAGAACCCAAGTCACTAGGAAGTGTCACAGTCTTGGTTAGAGCAGGAAGTTCTCCAGATTGAGAATGGATTTGACCTAAACCCAGTTTGCTGTGCCATGTCTGTAACACTCTTGGATGTCTTGGCTCAAACCAAGCTAAGAATGGCTCTTTGGTACTCACTGCTGTGTGCTCAAGTTTGGCAACCTTGGAAATCAGCATGGCAGTAGTGGCAGGAATCATGAACCAGCTCCCAGTCCTCACAGACTTGCAGAGCCTCCTGTGCAGCTTGAGGCAGCAGGTCAAGCAGCACTGCCAAGAGTGAGCTTCCAGAGCTCTGCAGAGCAGGGGGAAAGAGGAAGAATTCATGTTATGCTCAGAGGAAAAAGAAGTTAAAACCCACCAAATTCGATGGGGTGTGGCAGCAAACCACCCCTCCCTCAGATGGAGTTTAAAAACGGGACAGAAACACAAGATTCTGTTCTTCACACAGATTTCAAGGCACATCCTAGCCACAAGCACAACCCCAGCCCTCAAGCCTTGGGGCGCACTGCAGTTACCTGTCCCGTGGCTCCTCCAGGGCACACAGCACTGTCTTTAGAAGATTCTCTGCCACCTGAGAATGGAAAGACAGAAATATTAAACTCTGGAAGAAACGTTACAGGTTTCTTTCTCATCAGCTGAGGGGCTGCTGTGAAAGGGAACTCACTATTCTTCCATGCCTTCCCCACAACACTTTTATGGATATGCTGTGAAATCGCAAGACTTACTGACTGGATGGCAGAGCCAAGCCCTGGGGGGCTGTTATTTGTAGAGCCCAAAGCTGCTCTTCCTACAACTTTAAAACTTACTGTGAGTTGCAGCATCCTGTTCCTGCTGTCCTCACACAAACACAAGTGTTTTCTCACCAGCAGGGAAATCTCCCAAACCAGGAGCCCCTTGCCCAACCCTCCCCCATGCAAGAAAACCAGTTTCAAGCACCATTTGAGGAGCTCAGGATTAAGTATTTGCCACCATTGACTACAAGCAAACCCAGAGAAGCAGCCCCTTCTCTCATCAATGCCAACACCACCTTTTGCTGCAGGGACACCCTCTCATCTCCTCTGAGGAGTCTCTGACTTCAGAGCAGCTATTTTTGCTGAAGCTCTTTGAGCTGTGACCTGCTTCCAACCCCAACCCTCCCACTGATGGTCAGTTCTGCTAAGAGACACCCAACAGCCCAGGCTGAGCCTTTATCCCAGGGGTGGCTAAAGCTGCCAGAAGACAAACCTCATGGTTACGCCACGAAAGGTCAATGTTCTCTAATCTGTACAAGACACCTTGAAGAGTAACTAGCAAATCACTGGAGAAGTCTTTTATAAACTCAGCCAGGCCCTCCAGGGGCAGCACACAGAGCCAGGACTTGACCAGAGTGGCATCAAATTCCATCAAGTACTTCTTTTCTCTCATTAGTTGCAGCAGGGCTTCTCTGGAGGGAAGACAAAACACAATCTTCAGATTTCAAAGGTACAAAAGGCCAAGAGCTGTTCAGCCCATGAAGCACTCTCACTCCTGTGCTTCTCTCATTGCAGCTGAAGATCAGTGGAAGTCCCCAAGGCCCAGTGATGGCAGAGGCAGAGCCAAAGCACTGAGCAGAAGCACTCAAGGAAAATAAACCCCAGGTCTTGCTCAGAGTCTGCACAACACACACATGAGCTGCTTTGACTCACACCACCAGGCTGCTCCACACAGGCAGAACTGAGAGGCTTTGTGTTTCAAAGGGCAAGTTCTGCCCAGCTGGGCCACACACCATGATCTCTGAGCAACCAGAGTGTCTATGACCATTTATCCCAAATATTCACCACCAACATGCCACATTTCTTACTTTTTACATAGAAGAGAGGAAAAAGAGTTAAAAAAGAAGTAATGTGAACAGCACCAACTACAGCACCAAGGTACTGGGTATAACTAGGAATTCTGGAGAACTCACACATCTTTGCTGCTCCTTGTTCCAGCAAATGGAATCCCTTCCAGCCCTGCCCAGACATCTTCCTCCACTGAGGAGTGCTGCTGCTGCAAGGGAGCAGCACAGGAATGCAGCAAGGGAAGGATCCACACCCACTGGTCTATGCCACCATCGATGCATCTCTGGCACAAGTTGGTCAGGTTAACCTTCAAACTGAAAAAAATAGTAGAACAAACACACACAGAGTGAAGGAACAGCTTTCTCCAGGCCTCCAGTCCATCCCTGGGGTGGGGAGGCTGCCGCTCAGCCTCCCTGTGCACCTTCATTAGCCTCTGGTCATTATTTTAGCTCCACCTTATCTTCAGTGGAGAGTCAACGTGGTAAAGCTCTAAGAGCCAGAACTGTAAACTTCCTCAATCTCTGCTCAGACCCTCCCAGGAGAGCACTATGAAGTCCCAGTACTTCATCTAGTTTCCCTGTGACACTCTCAGGGTCAGGTAGTGTGGGGACAATTCTTGGCCTTTTTTGATTGGGCTGAAATGTTACAAAGGTCTCCACAACGAAATTTAATAGCTGCAGCTGTGCGAGTGAAGAACTAGAAATTCCAGTGCCAGGTAAGTACTCGGATCACAGTCTGACAAACAGGAACTCTACGGACAAATGAGCAACAAATGAGGAGTGATGCAGGTCAGAGGAGACAAGAATTCAAATGTGGCATTGAAAATTAAAAGAGTAAACACATGATGATCCTGATCACTGGAGTCTGTAAGCACAAATAGCAAGCAGGAAAGATGCCAGAAACTGCTTGGCACAAAAGGACAACAAAGAAGATTATTATACACAAAGAAAAACAAAGAACTCCACTGCAACTTTGCCTGGATGTTAGCCTTGCTTGGAGCAGGAGGTTGGAACTGAGACCTCCAAATATCCCTTCAATGTGACTTTTTTCTGATTCTCTGGCACTGGAGAGTTGGACTCCTGATTGCTTGGCCAAAGGAGGCTACACATGCAGCAAAACCAGCCCAGTTAGTCACCTTGTCAGTGCTCCACATACCTAGTAACTCCTGCAAAAGCCTTTTTTATGTGATGAATCTCATCCTGTATGGCTGCTTGTGACTGCTTATCCAAGCACAAGAGGCTACACAGGTCAACCAGGTCACTCTGAGGTGCTGTAAGTGAAAATTCTTCAACTACCATGAGAATGGTGAGTCCCAGAGCCAGTTTGCTTTTGATGACTGTGCCCTCCTGCGATGGTGCAAGGAAAGGAAGAGCTATTTTCTTCATATAACTTATCAGCAAATCATTCACCTGGGACAAAGAAGGGACAAAACAAACCAATCACAGCATTAGTATTTTTCTTCTGAAGTCACTTTCTTCTCCTGGCCACAGTGAGGACACTGGGCAGCCCTGGACAGCCCTGGGCACCATGGTGGTACTGAACACGTCCAGAGCATCAGGTGTGGCACCCCAGTACCTGTCACCTCCCCATGCTCCCAGCTCCCACCACTCAGCTGCTGCTCCCCTGCCCCACACCGAGCTCAGCTGGGCAGTGCCAAGGGACCAGGGCAGGGCTTGGATGGGAACCAGGAGCTGAGCAGTTGTACACTCAACGCTGCCTTCAGTCACCACCGTGTCCCACAGGCAGCCACCAGCTTCCCCATGGACTCAGGCTTGGCTGGGATTCACAGAAGGGAGAGGTTTCTATCCTCATGCACAGCCCCCAAAAGCTACTCTGGAACCACGTCCAAGCACTATGGTGCCTAGTGACACCAAAACCATCCTTCTGAGAGCCAGCAGTGACATGGACACCGTTGGGCTCTGCTGGGCTGTGCCAGCTCAGGGCCTCTCCCACCTCACTGCGAGCAGGAGACTGCAGAGTTAGAAAGGAGCAGCCCTGACACTGCTCTGAAGGACCAAGGAAGATAATGTGGCATTTCTGCCACGTGTCATAATTATGACAAGCCAGAAATTTTGGACTCTGTGGGTGTCACAGCTTAGAAAAGGAGCAGGAGCTCCTCCCAAACACCAGGCAGGTCTGGAGCCAGAGACAAGGGCAGTGACACTGGTGACAGAGTGGCAGCAAAACTAAAGGGCCAGGCTTAGGGAATTAATATCCAGACACAAAACCCACTCAAGAAAGAAGTCCCCACATCACAGCTGAGCTGCTGACCCACGTGGGCTCTCAGAGCCACACCTAACCACACAGGTGTGACTCAAGACCCCAGGGCAGACAGTGGCAGTAACCCTGGGAGGATCCCCACTGGTTCTGTCACACTTTTGACTGGAAAAGCAAAATTAACCCAGCAAAGTCAACAGCAGAATTAAAGTCTGGGTCTAACAACTGAATGCCTCTGTGAAAGTAGAGATTACCTGCTCTGTGCCAAAGTTGAGCTCCCTCCATGGCATTTCCCTGCCATCATGCACCCTCTGGGCTACTGTCACATAATGAAACTGCTTCAGCTGGAAGAGGAAGTTCCTCAGGTTGTCAGGGCTCCAGGTTTCAAGAATGCTGAAGATATTTTCTAGCATAATATTGGCAGCTATTTTCTTCCCTCGCACCACGTCTTCATTTTTGTCAACAATTAACGTTTTTAGCGCTTGCTTAAACTTTTTGGACATAGAAGGCTTTGCACACACGATGTCATCATACTGGTGCCACTCTGGAACAGCAACACAGAGCAGAACTCAGCAAAACAACCAGTGGAATAACATATCTTCACCCTTCCAGCTGCCCATGGCAATAACCCCACGGTCCCACTGAGCTTCAGACAGTAATGGTGCTCCATGTGGTGTCTGAGATCTCCCCACAAAGGTCATGGGTGATCCCAGTGTGCAGATCCAGCCAGGAAAGCTCACCTCCATTGTTGAGAAAGCTCCTTCTTATCAGCAAGCAGCGATTCACATGGTTGTTGGAAGGCTTGTAAATGAACTCATACTCGCCCTTCCCACAGGTCACCCAGTATTTGTAAGGAATGTATTTGTCCAGGATCTCTTTTGTGAGGGTCACCGTGCCTTCAATGAGGTATCCGTGTTCTCCCAGATCCCTAGGAAGCACAAAAAGGCAAAGGCAGGCAAAGAACATGCCAGCTGGTCTACCTGCTTCCCTTCCCAGGCATCACTCCACTTTTAACAGGAATGGTGATTAATCTGTCACCAGAAAGTTTTAGAATGGTCATCTCCACTGTGAAACCCTCTGCTGCAACACCCAGCTATGGACACAGGGCCACAGCAACAGAGGTACCACATTGATAAATGTCCTCCAAAACACTCCTGTGCCTCGAGGTACTTACTGGGTGCAGTTCATCTCACAGATATTGTCCTTCCAGTCTGTGTAGGAAGGAATGCCTTGACCTCTGATGAACACCTTGTGGGTCTCAGGGTTTAGTTTGAAGTCTTTGGACAGGATTGCATGGAAATACACTGTGACACCCCCATTGCGGCTCACAGAGCTGTGAGAGAGAATTAGAAGGAAAATGGGAATAATTCTCTTTTCCCCTCTATTTTTAATTGCACAAATCATTATAAACCACAAGTCAGACGTGAGCCTCCAGCTGGCCCCATGGGCTCTGTCAGCTGTGCACTCAGACTGATGTTACAGCAGCTTAGGGCAGAAGGGACAAATGGGCTCCAAAAGGCAGAGGAAATGCTCTGCCCCAGCAGAGTCACCTGGAATGGCTACACTTTCTCCCTTTTCCAGCTCACACACAATAATCAAAACATGTTGTACTAATCAAAACAGCTCTTCACACCATTAATCTAAAGAGTTACATGTGTGAAGCACATGTTGTTCATCAGAGCAACAAATGAGAGGGGAACCTCCTTCTGATGTATCAGCTACTCAAGCAGGTTCAAGTACCACATGTGGCACATTACACAGTACATCACCTGTGCTGCAGCTCCCACTAAACACTGGCTCTCCTGTGCATGAGCACCTTACCTCAGTTTTAAGGCAATTCTATTTCCACACATCCCATGTACACACAGGCCCAATCCCAGCACCTCATTCCCCAGCCTCAGTCTGGAGTCCTCTAGTCCTGCTCACACCACCACCTGTCAGTGAGGAATGCTGAGGGCCAACAGGGCTGTCCTCACCTTTCTTTAATCTTTTCCACAGGTTTCTCGTTCTTGTGTTCTTTTTTGTCCTTGCAACTGTCTGCTGCATCCTGCTTTCTGGCAGCCTCAACTCCTTTGGTCGGACTGGTCTTCTCACTTACTTCAGGCATTTTCTTGCTTGGGCTCTTGTTTTTCTCCTTTGTGTCTTCATTCTGTGCCAAGGAGACAGACAATGCCCAGTGAAACAGGAGACCCTGGAAATCACAACATCTCCTCAGACAGGAGTGGACACCCAGCAATCACGGCTTGGTGCCAGCTTCATCCTCCTGGAAATGTTGATCCCTCACTGAAGGAAGCTGCTGGTTAAGGAAAACAGAGCATGACGAAAGAGGTATCCAACCCAAACACACTGGCAAGCAGCCAGGTCAGTGAGTCCCAGGTCCTCAAGGGATGGGGCATAAATAAAGTGAAAGACCATAGAATCATAGACTGTTTAGGGGTTGGAATGGAGCTTAGAGATCATCTAGTCCCAACCCTCTGCCCTGGGCAGGGACACCTCCCACCAGAGCAGGTTGCTCAAGGCTTTATCCGCCCTGGCTGTGAACACTGCCAGGGTTGGGGCAGCCACAGCCTCCCTGGGCAACCTGGGACAGTGTCTCACCACCCTCACAGGGAAAACTTCCAATATTTAATCTACAATTCTCTCTTTCAATTTATCCCCATTGTCCCTTGTCCTGTCCCTGCAGTTTCTAACCAAGAGTCCCTCTGCAGCTTCCCTGGAGCCCCTTCAGCTCCTGACAGGTTGCTCTGAGGTCTCCACACAACCTTCTCTTCTCCAGGTTGAACAGTTCCAACTCTCACCCTGCTTTCATAGGGGACATGCTCCAATCCTCTTATCAACTTCCACAGCAATCTCCAGCTGAACAGGCCTGTCTGTGAGCAAAGCACAGACACCTGCCAAGCACAGCCCTGGTCTAAGGAGAGCCAAGAGCTCACTGGAGAGCACTCCCAAGAGACACCTCCCAGCTCCTAGGGGTAACTGAGTGACCCCTCAGTGAGGGCTGGGCTAGGACTAACACCCAGGAGAACAGAACTCAAATAAGAAACTCCCTATAGCTCTCCCCACTTCCACTCTGTATCCTCAGCTTTACTGCCAGCACAAACCAGTCAGAGCTGTTAGGGGAAACTCAACCCTGTGGGATACTCCCCCGAGGGGTGACTCACACTCACCTTGGCAGGGGAACAGTTCCCTTCCCTCCTGGTGTCCTGTTTATCCTTCCCAGCCTGCGGGCTGCAGGCCACAGGTGAGGTGTCTGTGCCATGTTTGCCTTTGGGCACTCCCTGAGCAGGGGAGAGTCTGGAGGGAACCCTCCCTCCCTGCCCTGCCGAGGCCAGTTCTGCACTGCTGCACCTGGGCTGGGAATCAGCTCTGGCCTCTGGCAGCTGCCCAGGGGCACCACTTTCCCCTTCCACGTCAGCCCTGACCGCGTGTCCATGTGCTGTGGGTCCTCCATCCCGTGGGGCTGTGGAGCTGGGAGCTGGGGCAGCCCCACTGGCAGTGCTGCTCTGCTCTGGGGGGGTGAGCATATCTGCTTCCAGGCTGCCAGCTTCCTTCCCCAGCACCCTGCCGCCTTCAGGTGTGCCTCCACTGCCACCAGCAAGTGCTCCAGCACCTGGCTTAGCTGCCTCACTGCCAGGGGGATGGATTTCTTGTGGACAAACACAGGGATCAGGCAATTCTGTACTTGGAGCTGGTGCTGGAAGAGGCAGAGAGTCCTGTTCCCCAGAGCTGGAAGGACATTTCTTTGCTTTATTCCTCTTCCTTTTCTAGAAAACAAACAACACAATGTCTGTTTATTCATTGCCAAAGAGAAATTCTTTGTCACCTCCTCCATTGCAGCAAGTACCGACATCTTCCTGCTACACTGGGATAATGGAGAGCGACCAGGAAGAGGAGGGACAAGAACAGCGTGTGAAAAGCAAACAATCGTGAGAATTCTGTAGTTTCACTATTCAAGACCTGCTCGGAACCTGCTGGATCCACAGGTGGTGACTATCTCTCCCTCTCTCTCCCTCTCTCTTTCCCCCTCTCCGTATCTCCCTCCAATCAGACCAATCTCTGAGATGAGTTTCACTGCCTCTGGAGGATTTCAAGATGAGAATAGATGTGGCACTTAGTGCCGTGGTCTAATAACCATGGTTGTGTTGGACTTGATGATCTTGGAGGTCTTTTCCAACCTGGCTGATCCTGTGATACTGTGCCGGGGGAGCCGCTGGGCTCGGCACAGCAGCTCTGCGCACACAACCCGTCAGCAAACAGTGACAGCTTCCTGCAGGAGCCCAGGCAGCAGCTCCCCGACGCGGCCAGAGGGACCTGAGGCAGCACTGCAGCCTCATCACCACGCAGAACAGTTACAAGCCACAGCTGCTCCCAGCACCGACCCAGAGCCTTACCCTCCTCCGTGGCACCCCAGCAGAATCACCAGCCTCACAACGGGCTGTGGGCTGTGAGCTGTCACTTGGAGCTGTCACATCCTCCAGCAGTGATGATCCCTCTTCCTCCTCCTCCTCCTCCTCTTCCTCATCCTGTGCTTCAATAGAGGAAGGAGGTCCATCCACTGTGCATTCAGGTGTGGAGTCTGAGGTGTTGATCAGAGGTCTTGCGTTCTCCAACATCAATTCTCCCTCTGCCTCCTTTGTTTCAGTGGTGGAAGAAGGCTCAGCAGCACCTTCTCCCTTCACCTCTACTCCTGCATCAGGGACCGGAGTGAGCTGCACCTCTCTTCTCTCTGCAGTGGAGGCAAAGCTCATCGTTAAACTAGACAGGATGGGCTGGGTGAGAAGGGACCTGAAAGCCCATCTCATTCCAACCCCTGCCATGGGCTGGGACACCTTCCACTAGCCCGGGTCGCTCCAAGTTCCTGGATGGGGGAGAGATGAGGAAAAAAAAGGTAAAACTCATGGGCTGAG